CTTTAAAATAAAATAAAAAAGGTCATGAAGAAGCTAATTTTTATTTTTATTTTATTTTATTTTATTTTATTTTATTTTTATTAGAACTCATGGAGATACTAGTTTGAGTTTTTTCTTTTATTTTTCTCTTTTAAAAGGAACTTACGGAAAAATTATTTCACACATGTTCTTAATCTGGTAGACTTTCATTTTATAGATACTAAACGACCAATACTTCAACAAACTGGCTTCTGCAACCAAAACTTGAATGAACCTAATTACAATGACGATAAGTAAAACTGCCAAATATGAAAGAAAGGTGACTTTGAGCCCCGCATATTGTAAGAAGATGGGAGCATCAAGTCAAGGAAACACCTTTTGTGCAATATAACTTCTGCTATCTTACGTATTTAAACAGGTATAGTGAGCAATAAGCAACTATAGGGAGACTTTTTACAAAAACCATCAATTACTATGAGTGACCTGGCCTGATTGGGTTTTCTGTCAATCTTCTCCAAACCATCCTCCCACAATGAACCAAGGTCAAGATAGCAGTGAAATAAAGAAGAGGAATGCCAACAGCGCAACCACCAGGCGCCAAATTCACCAGTGTCTGAATAAGGAAACAGCAAGTCAAAGAAAACAGTGTAGTTTAAGCATTAATTGAAGGCAAAAGTCATAAAAAAACAGTTACATTCCAAAATATCAATTCATAAATATAATTCACAGTATAAACAGGAGACCTTTTACTGTTACAGTTCACATGTTTTCTGAAACCTACTAAAATTCAAGCAGACAGGCACCACTAATGAAAGATGGCTGGTTACTAGTTACAGTTGTAAATTTTAGGGTAAAATATAATGCAACGAGTGAGATTTTACCACCATTCCTGCAACAATGTGAACAATGGGAACAAAATATGTATCCACTTTGTTCCCCTCTGTGTATCCATTAAATGCGATGACCATTGAGAATGTGTGGATTGTGACAAATGCAAGAGCAATAGTTGCTGCAATGTATATAGAAAACGGTGAGCTAATTGGAGAAGTTAAATATTAAAAATATCATATCTCAATTTGGAAGAGAAAAAAAGATCAGAGCTATTGCTGTTAATATATAAAATCTGAGGATTAATGGGAGGAAAACGCTATCAAAGATTCTCAGGAAGCAACTCTAATCCAAACTCTATAAACTCACATAAATTATATGAATATGCAATAAATCCTTAGATTGCAAAGTTTTCAAAAGTTCGAAGCTGCAAAATACCACACTATTCATATACATGCTCACAACAACTAGCGGTGGGAAACTCACCATAAAGAAGGAAAAATGGAACTTTTGAACACCTGTCAACAAAATATGTTGCTGGACCAAATGCAGGAGTTAATAGGCTGATGCAGAAGAACACAGCATGGGCAACACCATGGCCCAACCCACCAGCTGTGAAACAAAACCAAAATACATTTTACTAAAAAATCACAGTTTATCATTCATAATCTAGATCATATACCAAAAGGAAAATATCTTTTTTCAGTAGCATCTTAACAAGTTATTCTTTTGATCAAACAACTAAATTAAATCAAGGATCCAGTTAATCAACAAAACAAAGGGATTATCATCAAGGTTAATCCAGCAGCTGACAAAAGAAAATATCTAATAATCTAATCAAAGTTGATCAAACAAATGCAATCTTCATAGCCATTAAAGTCCCCGTATTCTTACCCAGAGCAATCAACATCTTATCTGTCAGGAGAAGATGGGGTTTTGATACTCTGTCAGCAAAGGCATCTAACATGTCTTCTAACCTCCTACAAAATATCAACAGGAAAATAAAATAGAATAAATAATCCATACACAAAAGCCAAACGCAACATTGGTATAGTAGATCAAATAAAACACTTCGTACAATATGGTCAGATACATCATATTGTCAAATAGTTTCCAAAAGCATCAAATAACAGCAAGGTTAAATTAAAAACTCTGCATTTATATCCAAAACTATTTTCGTTTTAGTCCCTGAAACACAGTTGTTCACAATTTAGCTCTTACTGTTTATCTTACAGTTTATTAAAGTTATAACAGTGTTACAATTTTTTCACATAGGGACCAAAGCAAAACCGGAAGGTACCAAAATATAGAATTTATAATAAAGGAAGGAACTAAAATAAGGACTAATTTTTTTCATGTACACTCTAAAATGTAAAAAAACAGTGTCAATTTTTTCGTATAAAGGGACTAAAATGAAAAACGGTGTGAGGTGAAGGAACCATATTTGTAATCTAAGCTAACAACAATATCATAGCATTGGAGAAGAAAACAACAGGAGTACAAGCTTACTTGTATATTTTCCAGAAGAACAGCCTAAGAGCTTCTTGAAAAGCAACAGATGAGAATATAAGAATTCCAAAAGGCCACCAAGCGGTTGTATTGAGGGGCAAAAACCCCCTCCATATTCCAGACAGCACAATCAAACTAATAAGCCACAACAGTGTACTGCATTCACAAATTAAATCAACAGAACAAAATTTCATAAGAATCACAAGAAAAATATTTCATTTGGAGCCAATAGAATAATCATAAAACCCTAGCTGGCAACGAAGAGTAACTGATGAAGCAAAGAGTAACATGGCGAGGGTGGGGTGAATTGCGATATTGCAAGACACAGCGTTTGTGGTTTGGTGAGATCGAGTGAAAAGAAATGGAGCGTGCGTACCTGGAGAGAACAGTGAGAATGAGGAAGGGCTTTTTGGAAATGACGGAAATGAAGAGGGAGAGAGAGGGCCCTAACGCTACCAGAGCGTAACCGATTCCTGCTGCTACCGTCATCTCTCTCTCTCTCTCTCAAAGGAACAGAATCTGAGAAGTCACCAAACACTTCCCAAACTCCTCTGCTCAGCTCCTCCACTCAATGAACACCGAGTCACTCATCTTCTGATCGAATCGCTATTCGGGTCGGTACCAAGGCACATTTCACTGTTGGGCCTGACTAAGTATATATCTGGGCTCTAATCAAGAACAAAAAAGCCCATAATAGCATCTACTTCATGTAGAAGCCATAATTAATTCTGTCAGGTATAGTATAGGACAGGTATTATTCACTTGTTTTGTTTGATTTGGTTGGTGGTTGAGAGAGAAAGAAAGGAAGGAAAAAAAATTGAAAAAATGAGATTGTTTAATTTAAGGTAACTGAGTGGAAAGTTTAGGGTAGATGTGATGAAGGAGACTAGAAAAATAAAATTGTATTATAAATTAAATTATTAATTTGTCCTTAGTTTTATTTTATTGAGAATAAGTATAAAATAAATTTGAATAATTGATTTCTAAACAAATTATAAATTTTCACTTATTGTATTTCATGTAATTTCTAACACCCTTAAAATGTTTTCAGAAAAACTAAAAGTAATTTAATAATAGAATTTTGTAAATATATTTTTATGAAATGCAAAAACTATTTAAATCCATTTGAATTCAAAATTAACTTGCTAGATAAAATTGAACATAGACAAATTTTCCACACAAAAAGACAACGTTGATTACTTGGATTTAAAGTAAAGCATGCACTAAATTAAATCCTTATTGCGAGTTAATGGTTTAAAAATGCATAGTCGCTACTTTTATTTCTACGTGTAATTTCTTCATTCTTGAGAAATATCCAAATATATTACCAACCTTCTATATCCTTATGTGATAGTGAATGTTTGATTGAAATCTCAACTTGACTAAAAATGATCAAATTATGATATATAATACGGAATATAAACCTCAATCTTAAAATGTCAATTTAGTAAGATTGATTTAGGTTTAAATACTATATAAGGAATTATTGTTTTTGCACACAATAAAAAAGATAGCAAAATATTAAAAATCAAGCTTAATAAAACCCTTAGTTTCATACCATCCAAAGGCGAATACATGTATTCTTACCCCCAAAAAAAATATACATCTCTAGATGTGGGGCAGCATGTAAAAAGTAGGCCCAACAATAATTTGGTCACAGCTATTGCTGTCCGGAAAAGAATTTCCGGAACTGTTTTTGTGTTCCGGAAAATAATTCCGGAAGTGTTAGGATGGTGGTGAAGGAAACAACACCCTACTTAGAATATGCATGTGCATGCCAAAATAGTGACCAAAAAAAGAACCAAATTCCACAAAAATTGGTTAAAGGTTAATGTGTTTTTGGGAATGTTGAATTTTAAGGCTTCTTGTTTAGCCCGGGCTTTTTGGGCTTGGAAGATGGGCTTGAGTTTGAGGTCTCCTTGAAGGCAGAGGGACACAAGTCTCTTACAATGCATTCTCCACAACGAGGTCTTAGAGGTGTACAAATTGTTTGTCCAAACCCTACCTGTTATATTCAAGGCATTAAAAACAACTGTAAGTGTTAAAATAGCTTACCCTTACTCAATTTTACATATAAAAATTGACTGGTGAAACAAAAAGATACCAAATTAGAACAAGAAATTGTGGGATAAGATGATTGATTTGGTGAAGAGAAACAAACATACCAAGAGAGGGTTTATTGGAACCCATTCTTCCTTTGGAAGCCACCGTTGCAGAGACTCTTTGTCTCTTCAGGTGTTGAAGTTCTAGCAATTTCAGAAGATTGGTGGTAACTTTCAAATTGTGACCATTAGACACCACAGGAATTTGGACTCTCTAGTTGGTTTTTTGGTACTTGTCTTTAAAATATTCTGATTGACACTGATTTTGATGTGTTAAAATACATTAAAAGGAAATTATAATATACCAACAAAGTGCATTTTTATTGCTCAACAAAGGATAGTACCCCAAAAAAACCAGTAGAGAAATTGGACTCTTAGACACAGGAGAAGAGAAACAAAACCCAAAACCCATTTTGAAAGAGATTATGTGAAGATGTCAGCCTAAAGGAACCTGTTTGGTGCCCAATCTTGAGACCCACCCAAGCCGGTGTGCAAATGCGGGTGGACATGGTATCTACACATATCCCTGGACATTGTTCCATCCAGGAATTCATAACATAATGTGCAGTACTAAGTAACAAGATTAATCATAGATATAATGAAACATGTTGCTTGAATCGGAGGAAGCGGTTACACATACCAAATGAGCCATCTTAGGACCGATGCGGGAAAGTAACAGTAGGGGGTTTGGTCAATTGAGCTTGTGTGTCCCATTGACTTCATGAGACAAATATTTGCAATTTTTTTCAAGTTAGTGGCTTTTCTTGTATAAAACCCAACCTGGAAAAAAATTGCACCAAAAGTACAAGCATAATTACTTTCCAGAATGAAGCAAAACCAAAAAGGAATTGAATTGATAACAGCAAGCTAAGGACACGCAGGAAGCTTCACTAGTATTACATAGTTGCCACTTAAATTCAAATTATTTAAATCATAAGAGGACGCTATAAACTTCAAAAGAAACAAGAACATACAGGGTAGATCAACTTCTTGACAGTCTCTTCATCACATTATTGATAGCTTCAGCTGTAAGCAGATCACTTTGAAGAAGGCGTTGAATTGCTCCTATTCTTGAAAACACACTTGTAAGCATGACAAACATTTTCAAGCATCTACCAATTATGAACTACATACATTAAGATTGTTTAAATTACCAATTAATTTGCAATACAGAATTCAATCTATATCAACACATATAGATAATATCCATTTTTGCTAGTTTGCTCTATCAATGTTCATTAAAATTACTTCAAATGTGGAGAGGCTAATTTGCATTTAACTTATAAATCCACTTTTTAACAGCCTAAAAGATGTTGGTAACCAGGTTTTTGTCACACATGCAAGCCTACCAATCTTTCAAGCTTTCTCAGAACATAAAACACCGTATTGCCCAAATTCAAGCCAACCTAAATTCAACCATAACAAGCCACACAAAGTCATTACTTTCTAGACATTAATAATCTCATATTTTAAACGATATTCAGTTTCTCTATATTTTCCACCTCATAAGTTGACATAAGAAACTTCTGCTACGATGAAATATTTTACTTGTGACAAGTCAATTCTTCTAACCTCATAAGGTAAGAATGCGCTGGGTATTTGATAAAAAAAAAAATACAGAACATTATTATCTTAGAAACGTACAAAAGCCAGCAAATTTATCAACAATACTTTTTCAACCCTAAACTTCAGACGGCATATATACTTACCATGAGTAACATGATCCTTTGTTTGGCTAGATAAAAGAGAAGATACCAGGACAGCAAATCTTCTCTCCTACACAAAGAAATTTTGATATGCGTAAACTTATTCACATCATGCTTCATACAAAATATAGAAGTAAAAGGGATTACAATATCCCTGTAATCACAGCAAAAATATGAGAAGGAGAAACTTATCTGACAAATAGGACCCTAGAAGTATGAGAAGCCAACCAATCAATTCAATACAAGATTACATAGATGACTAACTAGTTTGGTCATCAACTCATCATCATCATCATCATCAATATCTATTAATTGAAATGAGTAATTGCTATGCTGGTTGATGATGAATGACTACTGGATTGTCAAATAGAAAGCATTCACCATGTTGTCTTTTTCTACCCAAAAAGTTGTTTAGCAAGCCATATCTATTCAAAAATGTATATTTAGCAATCACTTTCCCTCGAAAGCAACAACACAGAAACCAATAAATAAATCTTTTAAAAATTTCATCACAGATAAACTAATATTCAGACCTTAGGACGGTAGTGTATCACAAGCTTTCTTCACATCCCATAGTACCAACTGGTGCATCACCAGAAGACCTCAGTTGAGAATCCCCTCAAGCACCTTTTCCCAGTGGGCAGGTGATTCGCCTGTATCATACATGAACTAAATAACTTAAGCTCAACCGAAATAGATTGGAAGTAAACTAGTTTCAAATTAACATGCTAACAAAACTGTTTCAACAACTAAATTTTAATTTCCAGGTAAAAACTAAATGGTGTATACTTCATTAAATAAATTCCTGAGGAAAAGATAAATCTGGAATTTAATCAACAGGCCGAAAACGAGTATTTGAATGCATACATAAGGAGACATGAAATAAAAATGGCAAAGTTCAGCTAAATCTCAGCTTTATATTAATATGTTTACTTTTCAATTGCTTGTGTATGCATTTAAGTACTCTGGCATACACAAAGTATTTGAATGCATAAATAAACATTGCTGAACTAGCGAGAGTCTGCTCGGCTACCTTAATATTTCTTAGACCCCCAGATTAACAATTTTTAAAGCCAATTGTATTTAAAAACTTTTTGGGAAAAAACCCGTAATTAGAACAAATTAAGCTTGATCTAAAGGGGAGAAAGAATATTATAAAAAGGAAGCCCAATAGTCCAAGTTAATTTTCAGCCGCTCCTACTTACTGGATTCACAAGTTTGAACCACAATAAGAACTTTTCTCGAGAGTATGAAGCATTTGAAAACAAATTGATATTCAGGGACAAAAGATGGTTAAACATAAGTACACCTATCATCCTAAAAGAAGTAACTAAATTTTCATATCGTTGTTGCTCTATGCTGAAATAAAAAAGAAAGAGGCATAGGTTGAATCTCTGTGAATGGACCACATATGGTTATGTATTTATAAATAGGAAAATAGAAAGAGATGAGCCTAAGCCTGTTGCATCTAACAGCTTTAAAACAAAAATATGATAAACTGAATGGGGGACATCTAACACTCTAAAATATTGATTTTGGACACAAACACCCAAATATTAATCAATTGAAGCATGTCAGATCTTCGTCACCATTTCTGTCCAGAATTGGATGGTTAGGAAATGTGGGGCTTGATTTTTTTTAATTCCAAACTAACCAGAAATTGTTGATGAAATAAAAATCTGGGTCATCAGAGTCAAAATTTTGTCAAAGATGATCTTTGGAATACTAGATGGAGCAAACGCTTAGTAAAGCCATCCAGAAGTAGTTCATGGATTCTCTCTAAACAAAACAGGGAACAAACAAACCATCGTTTCTCTCTAAAAACTGTTGTCCCAATATGAGGAGGAGGATGGAATCCAGGATTATTTTCCTTAATAAGAAAACACCCAAAAAACTTGCATAAAGATTTCTAATTCTTACCACCAGGTTTAGTGAACCAACTTACTTGTCACTGACGCCACCTGTCGGAGTCCATTTTCAGATTCACTGGAAAACAAAGAGCAAATGTATGAGAAAGTAGGTCCTTCAATCAGAATAGATGAACATGAGAATGTTTGTTATACAGTAGTGAGTAACTAAGCAGGCTGTGCAAACACATTCATGCAAACTTCTAATTCAAACCCTGGTTGAATACGATAGAAAAATTAAAAATAGCTAGTAATCACCTTTGTTAGTGTACACCAATATATCCGTAATTAATTCCAAGATAAAACAAAACAGCTAATAAAATAAACACCAGCATTATTAATTTGTTATATTTATACCTCTCCAAACTCATTCATATGTTCCTATTCCTTTCGGTAACCCCATTGTCTTTTGGTAACCCCGTTTTCTTCCTTCTATAATGCACCATGTTTCGGATCAGTTTATTCTCAGATCACTGTGAAACATTCATGATACTACTAAAAAGGGACCATGTAGCTGTTGTGAAAGTAAATATGCAAAGCACATAAAAGATAATGCTGTAAACAAATGGTTCAACATGGCACAAGGGAAAGCAGGTAATATCAATCAACATTGTAAACTAAAGGGAAAAAAAGGTACTGACCGCGCCGAGTCAATTTATTTGCTCCACAGTACGCAAATTCTTCAATTTCTGGAAGGCCAAACTTCTGTGTAGCAGGAACCTGATCATATAACTCATTGCAAGTTAGAAACTTTATTATAACAACACAAAAAGCCAAGGGTTCATAACTCAGACACCCATTGATCATATGACGCAGAAACAAAAATAAATGATGGAAAAGTTGATACCTTGTGATCCTGGGTTGATGGAAAACGGTCCTCTTCTTCAAGTTTGACAGCCATGCTTCTGGGTTTTTTATTTTTCCTGACAAAGACGCGAACTTTGGAGTGGGAACCTTCAAGAGAGGAAGTGGATGAGTTGGGATTGGGGGAAGATGCTTTGCAAAAGGTTTGAGTTTTCTCAGACATGATGACGCCCAAAGGAGAAGAAACTGAAACGACCAATGATAGATTTGAGAGTTGTTGTACCAGAGACATTTTCATGTGTGAAACTGAGTACATTCTTATTTTTGTTGATGAAAATATTTTTTTCTTCTACTTCAAGACTTTCTTATTTAAGTTTCTCTTATTTTTTAAAGGTTTAATTATTGATTGGTCTCCATTGAAAATATGAAAATCTTAATTTTTTTTATTTAAATTTATATTTTATATTGAATTTTATTCAAAATTTGTTTTATAATTTATATTTTATATTTAACTTTATTTATATTGACATTTTATTACATTATTTTTTAATGTTATTATTTATTTAAATTTACATTTCAAATAAATGTTTTAAAATACGTAAAAATCAATAATTTCTATACAAATGTTATAATTAATTTAGAAGTAATAATTTTATAATTTTAAATTTAAAAAAAACTTAATGAAATATATTTTTAAAATCGTAGTTTTTAATAAAATACATGAAAGATGTTAGAGTATTTCTTCTTGCACCTCACCGATCTATCCTGCATCTCTCAAATTTTTGTATTATTCCAACTGTTTCCTTGTCACCCTTTCAGAACACAAAATATTTTCAGAACACATAAAATATTTTAACTATTTTTATTTGAATGAGGGGTTACACAGCTGTTCACGCTTAAAAGTGCGGCTATAATTTGAAATAGTCTAACCATAAGGAGGTCCAGTAAATCATGCACGCAGTTTGAAATGTGGTTCTCGAACTGGGAAGTGTGGTGAAGTTTTTCATTCCACATTTATTATATTTAATTGTTTTTAAATTTTATTTGCTTTTTATATTTTTTTTATTAGTTTATTTAAATATTAAACATTTTGTGGTTAATATTTTGTAATTTGTATTTTGTTTTTGTATTTCATATTTATTTAAATTTTATTTTTAACATAATTATTTTTCTGAACTTTTAAAATTTAATTTGTTTTTTTAAGTTTTTGAATCTATAATTATTTATTAATATTTTATTTTTTAATATGAATTATTATTTAGTTATTTGTTNGATCCTGGGTTGATGGAAAACGGTCCTCTTCTTCAAGTTTGACAGCCATGCTTCTGGGTTTTTTATTTTTCCTGACAAAGACGCGAACTTTGGAGTGGGAACCTTCAAGAGAGGAAGTGGATGAGTTGGGATTGGGGGAAGATGCTTTGCAAAAGGTTTGAGTTTTCTCAGACATGATGACGCCCAAAGGAGAAGAAACTGAAACGACCAATGATAGATTTGAGAGTTGTTGTACCAGAGACATTTTCATGTGTGAAACTGAGTACATTCTTATTTTTGTTGATGAAAATATTTTTTTCTTCTACTTCAAGACTTTCTTATTTAAGTTTCTCTTATTTTTTAAAGGTTTAATTATTGATTGGTCTCCATTGAAAATATGAAAATCTTAATTTTTTTTATTTAAATTTATATTTTATATTGAATTTTATTCAAAATTTGTTTTATAATTTATATTTTATATTTAACTTTATTTATATTGACATTTTATTACATTATTTTTTAATGTTATTATTTATTTAAATTTACATTTCAAATAAATGTTTTAAAATACGTAAAAATCAATAATTTCTATACAAATGTTATAATTAATTTAGAAGTAATAATTTTATAATTTTAAATTTAAAAAAAACTTAATGAAATATATTTTTAAAATCGTAGTTTTTAATAAAATACATGAAAGATGTTAGAGTATTTCTTCTTGCACCTCACCGATCTATCCTGCATCTCTCAAATTTTTGTATTATTCCAACTGTTTCCTTGTCACCCTTTCAGAACACAAAATATTTTCAGAACACATAAAATATTTTAACTATTTTTATTTGAATGAGGGGTTACACAGCTGTTCACGCTTAAAAGTGCGGCTATAATTTGAAATAGTCTAACCATAAGGAGGTCCAGTAAATCATGCACGCAGTTTGAAATGTGGTTCTCGAACTGGGAAGTGTGGTGAAGTTTTTCATTCCACATTTATTATATTTAATTGTTTTTAAATTTTATTTGCTTTTTATATTTTTTTTATTAGTTTATTTAAATATTAAACATTTTGTGGTTAATATTTTGTAATTTGTATTTTGTTTTTGTATTTCATATTTATTTAAATTTTATTTTTAACATAATTATTTTTCTGAACTTTTAAAATTTAATTTGTTTTTTTAAGTTTTTGAATCTATAATTATTTATTAATATTTTATTTTTTAATATGAATTATTATTTAGTTATTTGTTGTATATTTTTTTGTTTTTATTCATTTATTAATTTAAATTTAATTTGTTGTATTTTGTGGTTTTCTTAAACTTTTTATATTGAATTGTTAAAATTTTTTAATTTTTAATTTTTATTATATTTGATATTTATTTAAAGATTATTTATAATGTAATTAATTTGAAATTTATATTTGTTTGTTAATATGTAATGTTTTTTAAATTATTTATTTATTTAAAAGATATTAATTATGCATAAATTTTAATTTTTAAACTAAAGAAAAATAAAAAACAAATCAAATTCAAAAAATAGTAAATCAAAACAAAAAGAAAGAGAATAAGACATTCATTCATCACACTTTTAGTTGTGGCTTAATGAGCTGCACTTCCAAGTGCGGCTACCGCAGTTTCAACTGTAGTGCGGTATGAACCGTATTTCCAATTGCGACACGATATGAACTGCACTTCCAATATCGACGCGATTTGAACCGCACTTCCAACTACGGTTATGGTCGACGCTCAACCCAGTTTTCAAGTGCGGCAACTCCTGCAACCGCTCTTTCACCGACGTGCTCTCAACCACTATGTCTTGACTCGACCTTTGTCGCATCCAACCCAAAAATGCATCCAATTCAGATCTTCGTCTCATCCAACCCATAAATGCATCAAACCCAACACCAGCGTCCTCTCAACCACTGTGGTTAAGGTCTCGACCTTCATCCGTCCAACTCAAAAATACATCTAACCCAAAAATGCATCCCAACACATACAAACAACATATACAAATACCACATACAAACAACACATACAAACAGCAGTCAAAAGATTTTGTGATTATGTCGTTCTGACACGGGTACAGTTGGAATAATAAAAAAATAGGGAGGTGCAGGGTGAGACTAGTGAGGTGTAGGCAGAAACACTCAAGATGTTAGTTGGTAAAGTTCAATAAACATATATTGAATTGGTATGAAATTTGGCTGAAACTTTTAATTGAAAATATAGGTTGAGAATAGACAATTAAATGATGTGTGGTTGGTGGTTATGATAATGTAAATGCTTTATGTTTTAAATAATTGGAAATTGAATTGGTAAGATATGATGTGATTGTTTTGAGGAAGCTGTTAAGTGATTATGTACTCTCTGCTTGCAAGTGTTACCATGTTTGTTTGGTGAACGATGGTTTTGCTTGATTTGTTGATTGATTAAGAGGGTTAGGTTTTGAGCAATTGGCTTAAATGATACACTTTGATCACTGTTTTGTATTCATTTGAGTTAAGAGACCAATTGATCAAGATGAAATCCAGTGGGTTCAACAATGGACATGATTCGTATAGTTGGACTTGACAATGAGCTTTTGGATATCTAAGAGGGTGTCAATGTGTTGCTAGTGCTGGGCACAATCACTCTGCCATAAGTGCCACGCTGTTTTGTGTAATATCTTTGATGTATTTTTTGAGTCTTAATTGTGGTTACTCTATCTGTTACATTGATTTAAAAGATGAAACAAAGGTAGGAAGACAATGATTAAGAATGACAATGGTTTAAAAGATATCTGCGAATTTTAAAAATCTCATAGTATTTTAAAAAATTATATATTTTATAAATTTTTAAAATAAAAAATAAATACAGTTATAAAAAAATATAAATATAAATTAAATTAAATTAAATTTTAATTCTAATTAAATTTAATTTAATAAAAATATAAATTAAAATTTAATTTTAATTAAACTTAAATTAATAAAATATAAATTTAATTTTAAATTTGACTTTTTACCGACAACATATATCAATAGGTATAAATAATATGATACCGTACCTGAACTGTTTATAAATGGATACTAAAATATTCGTTACTCATTGGTAATAGATACTTGTAAGTACCAATTATCTGTTACACATATGTAGTTTTTTCTTCATCCCTAAACATTATATGAGGTGATTCCCATAATGAAGTTTTGTTTATGTTATTTCATTGGGATGTGCATTAAGGTAAGAACGTGAAACTATATTGAACTTTGATAATCATTCATATTCGAGTATATGAGAATAATTAAGTGACAAGAGTGGTAGAAGGTCCTATCACAAGAACAATTCTAGAGTTTATATGATCGCAATAGTTATTAATCTTGTCTTGAGGGACGAACATTAGATACCACAAGTGTATATTTCATAAATTTTACTTGAATGCATTTATTCTAACAAATTAAGTCTTGAAGAGTCTAATTACATACATGAACGGGTGTGATGTTAATGATTGAATTTGTCACATTTATTAAAATGATTGGATGTTATAATAACTACCTTAATTGCTGTGAGAAAATAATCTCTATAAGGATAAAATTAAAATTTATTTATTTTAAATCATCTTTGAAAACTTGTAAAAAAGCTCATACCCCTTTGTTTATGTTGTCTTCATGGCTCCTCCAGTCCTCCATTCCTCCCTCATATATTGTCTCGCTGAGTGATCCTTCCTCCTCCCTGGTTTAGTGTGGTGAGTTGTAGCAGCAGGGATAATTGTTCTCACACATTTGGCATTTGCGTCTAGGTTGGCTGTTGTCATTTAAAAAATATTGTTAAAAAAATGCTTGCTCTTGCTCATTTAAAATGCTTGGTCTGCTTCTGTTAAAAGAATGGTTGCTCTTGCTCTGTTAAAATGGTTGATCTGTTTGTGTTAAAAAAATGTTGTTATTGCTCTGTTAAAATGCTGAGAGGTGTATGGAAAACCTCTCAAAAATGCTTGGTTTGATTCTGTTAAAAAATATTGGTATGCTTGGTCTATTCCGCTGGGTTTGTGCACAGTGGAAGTGAGGATAGGGGTGCCACAGTTGGATCTACGTCAGCCGCAGTTGGATCTGCGTTCGCTCTTAGCCGCGCTTTTATCTCTGTTAGCCGCAGTTGGATATGCTTTTGCTGTTAGTCACAGTTAGATATGCGCTTTAGGTTTTGTTTATTGCTTTATTTTTTTTTTATTTTTTGCTTTATTATGTTACGTTAGTATATTAAAATTTTTTGTTAATATTTTGTATATTTTTTTGTTAATATTTTATACTTTTATATTTTGGAATTTTTTTTATGTTTTATTGTTAAATAATATTTAATATGTTTTCAGAGTATGTTTAGAATTTTTTTTATTTGTTTGTTAATTTTTTTTAATTAGTAGTTAGTCTACAAAATGTTAAATAACGCTAACAGATAGAGTTTTGTATTTGCTTTTTGGCGAGTAGGTACACTGGAAATGTAGTTAAAGAATGACCTTTACTCTTGTAACCCTTGAAACCTTTTCGGCGAATACAACCATTTAAACTAACCTGGATATGCTCTTTGTTAGTAGCTTCTTCCTCCTCCTCTCCTCCTCTAATGTGCGCAGCAGCAACACTACCACTCTATAACTCTCAACTCAGAAAACAAATAATAGTAAAAATGAAGTGAACAAAAGACTACTGAAAGTAAAAAACTGAGAAAAAGGAAGGAGATGCATGATAGGGTTTATAAAATTAGAAAACATTCAAAATTGTTGGTGGTTGGGAGAATTGTTGGTGGTTAGGAAATCATTAAGTCATCATTAATTTTCTTTTGACTTAATAAATGAAAGACAAATATGTAAAATTGGAAGTGCAGGTGAAACAAAATCAGTCTTACATATTTATCTTTAAACTTTTAGAGGATTATAAACTAAATGACATTTTATTTAATAATGTTATATTCTTATATGAGATTCACTGTATCACTAACACACCATTGATAATATCGCTTAATAATTTTTTAACACAACTTGAAATTTTAACCGAGGAAAATAAAAAATATTAATATTAACCTATATTCACTTATTTTATTGAAAATAGTTGCATATTTGAAACTCTGGTTTGGTTAATTACTTTACAATTTCCAGGGCAGATTTTTACATTCCCATACACTAAATTTTTTAACATGAAGTTATTGCTTTGGCGTGGAATGAAAATAACTTAAAAACAACACATTACATTAGTAATTATAACCACAACGGTCTTAAACCAATCAAAACACACACATTACAGTATTAATTATAACAACAATTCTCTTAAAACAAGCATAATGTACACCAAATTTCAGCTTAATTTTTTATTCCTTTTTGAAAGGAGTTACTATTTTTTTTTTCTAAGATCAAATGAATGCTATCAAATGAATGCTGACAAACATGTACACTAATATTATCAATATTACAACTAATAAAGTACATTTAATAGTATTTTTTTATATACAATTAATAATATTAATACTATAGAATTCATTTAAGATTATTACCCCTCACAATTAACAGTATTATAACCAATAAATATATTCAATATATTTAATACTATTTTTTTAATATTTTTTGAAAGAAAGCTAATAAATTATAATTACAATTATCTTAACTGTAGATATATAACTTTTTAACATGCTCTTATAAAAAAATAAATTAATATTATAAATATAATTTAATTTAACCAGTAAATTACTAACCTATATTCGTCTGGAATCTTAATTACAAAAATATGACGACAAATCCTGAATGAAGTTTTCTTTTTATCTCAAATTCTAAATAGCACACTTAAGTACAATCTCGAAATTATTTAATATAAAAAAGTATGACTTTAGTTGTAAGATGTAAGCAAAATATTTTGCAATTACAATAATTCCAGAAATTAGAAAAAATCATTTTAGTTATTTTAGTTTTCCTATTATGCTGCACTCATAATTTTATTCACTATTTTTTTAAAATAGAAAGTTTCCATTATTAAAATATCTATGATTTTGGTATAATCCTTAATTGTACTGTATTATGGAAATTCTAAATCTAACATTTTTCAATATGGCGTAATTAAATATAAAATATAAAAATAAACGAATTAAACTATAAAGAGAAAAAGAAAAATATTTAAACCAAAATTATTTATTTGCGAATATGCGAAAAGACTATTATGTATCTTTAGTACGCTGATGGGTTTCTCATATATACTTCTGCCGAAATCAAAATAGAAAATGCTCTCATAAGGAAATTGTGTGCAGTGTGGAATGTATGAGCCAATACTTTGAATTGAGCATTCTTCACCCTTCGGCTCACTGTGAGTTCTCTTTTGATCTGCATTTTCTTTCTGCATTGCGACTCCTATGAGATTCTGTCTGGCTTTTGGAATCAATTAAATTATTTTGTTTTCCATTTTTTTGTTATTTTTGTTTTTCTATTAGGGTATTCAATGCGCAAAAACTACAAAATTATGTGAAAAAATGGGGAAAAAATTTCTGAAATTTGTGTGAGTCTAATTTTTATGGTTGATAATCATGCATGTTCAATTAAAGAGTGTTTCTTTGTTGTATGAATATTTAACTACTTGTTCAATTTGTTAAGGTTGTGTTTGGATGATGATCCTTATTTAAGATAATTATTTTTATTTAAAATAAAATAAAATTGTATTTTCTTAATATAAATCTTAGGGTAATAAAAACTAGCTTAATTAATTTTTTATGCATGCACTGTAATTAATTATTATTTTTTTAAAAAAAATCTTTTGAGATATTTTTTCATAAAATTTGATTGTAAATATGCAATTTTGGTGTAAGATGTTTGAGTTATGTTTCAATAACCATAGCTTGTGTTTTTTTTCTTCTTACACTTGAACACTTATTCACAAGTTAATTTTGTCAGCATCAATACACTAATACCACATTCTGAAAGTAGGTGACAGACCTTGAACATGGTTCCATCCGATGTTTGTCCGACGGAAGATGCAATTAAGATATTTATAGAGCACTTGGTAGACCCATTGCTGCCAGCAAAGTCTTCTGTTCAGGATTACCCATCACCATCTCAACAGAAGTTAGTAGCAAGACAGGTGTTTATTTTGTTTACCTCTCTTTGTGTTTTTATAACCATCCAACCATTAATCTATGAGGTTTTTTTGGACATTTTTTTTATGATTTGTTTTATTGGTTGTTTTGAGGAAATATTGACTTTAGGAATTGTTCAACATACTAGAGATTGTTTTCACTTATATTTTCCTTATTCTTACTTTCTATTTAGATTACTTTCATGTTTTGGTTGCATGGAGTATTGAAAGCATGTTTGTACCTTGTACATTATGACTACAATGCTATTTCATTTACTTTTGTCCTTGTGCATCTCATTAAAAATGGAAATAAACAATCTATGTTCATATTACCTTATGATTTATAAACTACAATATGAGTTTAGATCTATAGGAGAGCAGGAGGAGGATAATTGTTGGGAATAATCCAAGTGTGAATCAAAGTCTCACATTGGGTAAAAGAGACAAAGTTAAACACTATATAAGATGAAAAACCTATAAACTCATTGCCTTTAGGTTTTGGATTAAAAGTGGTGTCAAATATCTTATATGTGTTAAGACTATATATATATATATATATGTAACCTCCCCCTAATGATATCCCTCCTATAAAAATATAAACCAATCAATATCATCTCTAGTTACTGATCTTCCTGTTTGATTGTTTTTTCTGTTTCAGGTGCGATCGGTTGTCTTACTTTACAATTACTACCAAAGGAAACGACATCCACAACTTGAATATCTTCCATTAAATGAATTTTCCAAGTTGGTTGTGGTTTTGAGGCCAGCTTTATTAGCATATATGCAATTCATGCAAAATTCACATGAAGAAGAGCTCACTAACGTGGAGAAGCAACTATCATTGACAGAAAAGATGATTATGGAAGCTTGTGATGTATCTAAATCTTTAGATGCATCAAAGAATGTTCCTAATATAGAGGGATGGCCCATTACAAAAGTAGCTATCCTTTTAATTGACAGTAAGAAGGAGAAATGCTTTTTGCTGTTTGGTTCCATTACCAGTGGGGTATGGTCTCTGGTAGAAAAAAGTTTGGACACCTCCAGCCAAAGTTCTCTGATTTCGAAAGATCTGGACACCTCCTGCCAAAGTTCTCTGGGGTTGAAAGGTATGGTTACCTCCAATCAAAGTTCTGAAGTTACACCGGGAACAAAACAATATAAAAAGAAAAGAGTCCTTAAAAAATCTTCAAAGGATGAATTAAAAGTCAACGAAGATGTGTTTCTGCAAGTTGGGTATTCTGCTATAAAGGAAGCCACAGGTAATTATTGCATTTTTTTATTTTTAATATTTTAATTTTATCATGTGCTTCTGAGACACAAATAGCTGAGTATGATTCGTGTACTATGGTACAGGTATCAATAATACTGATATTTTTCTTTTGGAGAGTGGCACTATGTATTCTGAGAGTAAAGAGAAGGAAGCTTCTCGGTTTTATATAATGCAGTGCTCCGAGACGATCAATGAAGAAGTTTTTGAAGTTCCTATCCAAGATTTAATTAAAAGGTTTGTTTTAATTACTATTGTGTGATGACTCAGATTCTGATGACAGGGAAATGGATCTTTGTTGTGTCCGGCATTCAGGTGTAGTCACGTGTTTTCTACCTATTGCAGTGAAAAACGTACTCATGCTCATACAGTACTGCACATTAATGTCACTATCGAATCAAGTTATGAACTATTTACAAATCTTTGAGAATTAAATGCTATATTAGCCTTCTGTTTTGTTATATATAAGAAAAATATAATTATGCAAAATGTTTTTGGGTAGATGAATGATTAATTGTTAGCAAAAAGTGTTGTAATCTTATTTAAAGGATGTGTTTAGCTGAACAGAAAACGTTGTACAGTCTGTTTCTTCTGCGGTAATATATTTATTTATTTAATTCTTAGACATTTGTCTCTTTGCATTTATATGACCTTCACAAAAAAGTAAAGCTGACTCTGTACATGTTTCTGAATAACGTTTGTGTCTTCATTTTGCATAGCTTGCAGGGACCTTTGGTCACTAAGAGTTCTGGAAGTTGGATGATCACTCCTGTAATGGACTACTTCCATGTGCTTCCATGCTATGAAATAATATCAAAGTGGATATCCAGGTTGACATGTTCTCCTTTTTTTTAAAAAAAAAAATTTTTTTAGATTTTAGCAGCATTTTGAATTCCATGTTCCTTAAGGAATGATATTTTACTTGATGCTTAATGATTTCATCAAGTACACTTTACTTGAGGTCATAAGTTTAGCAACTTGGGAAAAAAAGTAAAAAGTATAAATATTATTCTGCTTTTCAAATCTCATTTCAGTTACAATGATTGTGCTTAAACCACTTGCTCATTTATGGTACTAATTTCAGTTGCACTTTTGACCGAGTCTGTTTTGGTACCTTTACAACATCAAATTCATAGTGGGATTTACTAATATTCTAGCATTTCCAAGCCTTGATATCATAGAATTTAAAGAGGTTCTTTAGTGTTAACATATAGTTTTTCTCAGAATTATCATCTGTCACAACACAAGTAATAATGTAGAGTTAATGTATGAGATTTTCAAATATTTGCTCATGGAGTTCCTACATGCTTATTGGATTATTTTTGGAAATTTTTTCCAAGATCCCCTCCATTAGCTGTCTGAAATCCTTAATACAATGTTCTTCTATTTTTAGTCATTTTCACTTTTTTTTTTGTCCTTATCTCCATTCACTTCTTGTGTAATATATTCTATCTTGGCAGAGAAGCATTCTCAAATACTTTGCAAGATACAAGGGTAACAGAGAAAAATATAAAGGTGGACACCCCTGAAGTAACAGAATTTTATGTAAATGAGGACATGTTTACCGCTCATGATAGTAAGCCAAACAATGATAATATTGATTCCCCAAAGCAGAAAGAGAACACTGGAAGTTGCACACTTGCATTATCTGATTCTATATATGAGCCCATGGAAATGACCATGAATGAAAATTCAATTTTAAAATCAAAGATCAAAGAAAAATATCAGTATATTATTGACAATACTGTACAAGTAGATGAAGATCTTGAAAGAAATAATCCATGTGTGAAGTATAATTTTAACGGCCCTGCAAGTACTGTCAAGGTTTGTAACTTGCTTACCTTTCTAGTTATTGAACTTATAGATTTCATTAAATCATGTTCATATGTGCTTTCTTTGATTATCTTTCCTAATAATTTTTGTGTTTGGACGAGTTTTTTTGGATTCGGGGAGCAATTTTACATCTAAAATTATGACGATTTTGGCTAGATTTTCTTTTTACTCTGAGAAAAGATCTTTTTCAAAACACAAGCTTTGTGATCTCTTAGTTAACCTATATTTTAGCTATTTAAGTATCCTTAAATTTTCCAAGATTGAAAACTTCCTATCGTGTGCAAATCATATAGCTGCCATATTTTTGGCATATGCTCCCTTAGGTAATCTATAATTTATCTATACAGAAATCCTTAATGCAAAAATACTAAATAATTGCAAACTTCCTGTGGTATATGCAGATACTTAAATTATGACTATTTTGGCTTGAGAAAAGATTTTTTTCAAAACACAAGCTTTGTGATCTCTTAGTTAATCTATAATTTAGCTATTTAAGTATCCTTAATGCAAAAATACTCCAAAATTGAAAACTTCCTATTGCATACACATGATATAGGCACCATATTTTTGGCATGTGCTCTCTTAGGTAAGCAATATTTTATCTATTCAGGAATCCTTAATGCAAAAATACTCCAAAATTGGAAACTTCCTATATTATGCACATCATACAGCTGCCATACTTCTAGCATAGCTGAGATTGTTGTTTTGGATGTATGCAAAATGTCTCGATGGCAATCAAATTTACTTTCAGAATCATTGTTTTTGTCCAAAACCATTTAACTTCGGACCTACTAATCAATATATATATATATATATATATATATATATATATATATATATATGAACCTTCTCTGACCCTAATTTATGCACACTTGTACAAATGGAACGAGAAGCTGGGTTAAATAATTTAGAAAAGTACTTGAAAAATAAATCATCTTCATTTTTAATGAACTAAAGCCCTTGAAAATAGATTCAATAGAGGGGCTTCTGCTAATCTTGAAAAAGGTTGGCCAAACACTACCTAAGAGTTGCATTTTGTGAATAATTCATTACTGCAATGAAGATTGTGATTTCATTATGGTATCTGTCCCTATGAGCATAACAGCTTAGATATATGCCAAAGTCCAGAAGAGGAGTCCCCATGAGTAATTATCAACTTATGATAAAGTTATAATAGTCAAATTTATCGAATTGTTTAGAATATTTCATTCATTAAATTCTTATGTAAATGTACCAAAATTCGTTTTGTGAATATTAATTTAAGCTTTGTAAAATTGTCAAACGGTCATGTTTATTATTCATGAAATATTTTTAATACTATTATTCTATTGATATATAAATATGTTGTTGCTTGTCATGTAAGTTCTCAAAATAAGTTTTTTTTCAAAGTTTATGAACTCAAATAATAATTATGTTTCTAAATGAGCTGCACCAATCTGCCATCCATGATTGTTGAGCTTAGTTCAGCTGTGTATCATCTGTAACCTAACTAAATGCCATTGTTTTGTTAGGCCTTAAATGTTGATTCAACAAATATGCTCGTTACTGAAGGTGGAACCAGCAATCTTGCTTCTTTGCACAATAGTTATGCCAATAGGCCCAATATCTCACCTGAAAAAGGCACTGTAGATGGCCGTATTCTGATTTCAAATCATTCTGCGTCAGATCAAGAGGAGCTCAAAGTTCTTTCAGATTCGAAAAAGATATTGACTCAAACTGCCCTAGCTACTTTGATACGAAGGAGGAATGAATTGGTAAAACTTCATTGCGTTCTTCTATTTACAATAATGATTATACTCTATATTCATTCTCAGTAGCCATCAATGGGCACTGAGAACACACACTCGTATCCTAGGAGAACATATATACATGTAATCTTAAGACATATATATAGTTCTATACAAATGTAATAGTAACTTGGTTGAATCCGTACGCCATTTGTTTTCATCATTTTTGGCTTACCTACCACTAAGCTTTTAATTTTAGAAATAACTAACGAGTAGCACATATTACCCGATGTACATGCTTGCATGTGTTGTTGTGACTATTAAAGCAGTATTCTGCTTCCATAGCCATATCTACTATGCTGGTTTTACTTAAATTTAAGGATTACATTGCTACTGCTTTGAATGTTAAAAAATTCTATATTTGCATATATCTGAGATTTAGTTACTCCATTCAGGCCCTTCAGCAGCGCAAGATAGAGGACGAGATTGCTGTTTGTGATGGAAATATCCAGAAAATATTAAGTGGTGTGTTTTCCTTTCAGTGTCCTGCGTTTTTCTTCTCTGGTATTTTCAGTATGACCCCCTACCCCATTGGTGATTCTCATGGTTTATCCTCTCGTAATTGTTATTTTTGTTCTTATTATTAATACTGTTATATTTCTATCTATCAAACTCTAGAGTAAGTCTGATACTGGTTTAGGCAGTGATTATTGGCTTCTTTTAGGCATTTTTATCACTTTGTATGATTTTCTGTCATTTGCAAGGTATTCATTAAACTCAATATTGTTTCTATTCAACCTCTCCGCCCCTGTTTTTCTAGGGTCTGCCCATGGTGTTGGGATCTTCCAAATTCAACTTACGTAAAAAACATTTCAAATAATACACACACATAAACATACATATAGGGAATATGCTGTGTTGCCAAGATATTGTGAATTCAACAAGCATACTCAAGCTGCTATGAGGATCTCTGATCTGCTAAATGAACAATTTTGTTAATGATCAGCTGCTCTTTTTCCTTTGCATCTGATTGTGATGGCCGATATATGCTATATTTGCTGATGAAGTCCTATTATATACTATGCAGAAGATTTTTTAATGGTAGAATTAGTTAGAGCCTGAGAAAATAATTGACTTCGAGCTGTGAACCAGATATACTAGAACTAAAAATGAACTGTGAACAAACACTGATTTTTCATGTGTCTTTTGGACAAATGTAGACGGGGAAGATAACTTTAGATTAAAGATTGAATCAATTATAGAAGGCTGCAATGGTACATGGCTCTGGAATCAAGAAAGGGTGTGTGGACAGCAAATCCCACCTCTTAAGAGGAAAAAATTGTCAGAGGCTGTCTTTATCACACAAAGTTCATGCCAGGTAAGCAATGTTCTATTTACATTCTTGGAGTCAAAGGTGAAAATGTTATCTCTTATATGATGCTTTATTATTCAATTTAGTAGTGTGCACACAGGATCAAATGATTGTGTTGCTAATTTCTTGGAAGTACTGAAGCTAGAATGAAATGGTTTAAAAAGTATGTAGGGGTTTAGGGTATGTTAATTGTAAGTTAATTTGAACAATGCCGCTCATAGAATTGTTTATACGCTGCTTGGTTTCATCTGTACAACCATTTTTACCACTCGCCAAAAGCTCATTTTTGACAAATGACTTATTTTCATTTTGTGCTGTGTACATCTCTGTGAAGCACCTCAGTTTGACTTTATCACCTACCTTTGTTCTGTGATGTTTTCTTTTCTTATGTGGCATTTTTCAATTATACATTTTGGTAGTGATCTATCACCTTTAAAAAATATATAAGAACATTACTTAACAATTAGCTGAACAAGTCCCCTATCCTCCTTATTTTCATTGAAATAAAGTATTTAGAACTATGGAAATCTTGCAGGAACTAGATGATATATGTCGCACAAACAATTGGGTCCTGCCAACTTATCATCTATCTCAATCAGAGGGTAAGGCTATCTAACCTAAACTTTAAGCACAAGCGGCATAAATTCTCTTTATGAATCAAGAAATAATTAAGATTTGATCATTGTGCTTTTTGTTCACCTTATTAATGGCCAATAGTTATTCATGTGTCTACGATGAGAAAATATGATACACCCTAATCTGACAAATCAAATCTAACTGGTGTTTCTATTGAAGGTGGATTCAAAGCCAATGTAACTGTTAAAGGAGTGGAGTTTCAGTGTTCATTTGAAGGTAAAATGGGTTCCAGTCCTTCTGAAGCAAGAGAATCAGCTGCAGTTCAGATGATAACGAACTTGAGAAGTATAGCAAAATTAGAAGAGTGATATTGGAAGATTAGAAATGATCTGTTTCCCTTTTTGTTACTAGTCTTTTCTAGAATTACATCAATCTGGCAAAATATCATGTCAGTCTTCGATCATTTTTACTGAATTCTGTTAAAATGACTGCATTTTCTAATCTCTTCGGTTCTGGGATCTTGCATTTAACACAAATGATATTGATATGCGATTAATTCTTGTCAACTATGTTGTTTATTATTTCAATTTTTCTCTCACCTTTTTTCGTTTACATAGTTGCTAAGTTAGGTCGTGCTCCATCTTATTTTTTTTCTTCGGAATATATCCTTAGAATGTATTTATCAAATTATTAAATGTGTTTCATATTTCCACATCTTAACTGTTCTTTTACTCTGTAAAATCGTGTTGTACATATTTTTGAGTTTTCTCTTGTGAGAAGTAAACACAACAACAAAAAGGACCATCTAAGAAAATAAACTAGTGAGGAAGAAAACAGATGGCAATGAACTTGGCAACTAAATAAAAATATCAAAAGTTTGATAGACATGCAACACATGTTTAGAAAGCTAACAAGGACAAATTAGCTTATTTAAACTCTTTTTGGTTGATAGAAACAACTCAATACAATAGTAGACTAAAGGTCACCAAACTTGTGTTTCTCTCTGTTTATAGAGAAAAAGAGAAAGTATTTTCATGTGAAAAGAGATGTGTGGATTAGAGAAACTTGTTTGAAGGAAGTTGCTATGAAGAAAATAGAAGACGTGGGTTTCACAATATTCTTGTCGTATCTTTATAATGGTGAGATTTGGAAAGATAGCGAACTAGTATATGCAATTTCAAAAACAATGACCAAATTTATGATTATGTTGTTATATAACATATATAATAGATTTTGTTATGTTATATACCATAATTAATTCTAATTTATAATTTTTTTAATGATACTTAATATGCTGTAAATATATTTTTGATTTAAAAACATAAAATTTAAGTTTTGATATTATATGAAATAATTTTGATTTGTTATAAAATACATTTTTTTAAAGATTTTATAATGATTTTTTTTCATTTTAATTTAACATTTATTCACCCTAATTTATGCACACTTGTACAAATGGAACGAGAAGCTGGGTTAAATAATTTAGAAAAGTACTTGAAAAATAAATCATCTTCATTTTTAATGAACTAAAGCCCTTGAAAATAGATTCAATAGAGGGGCTTCTGCTAATCTTGAAAAAGGTTGGCCAAACACTACCTAAGAGTTGCATTTTGTGAATAATTCATTACTGCAATGAAGATTGTGATTTCATTATGGTATCTGTCCCTATGAGCATAACAGCTTAGATATATGCCAAAGTCCAGAAGAGGAGTCCCCATGAGTAATTATCAACTTATGATAAAGTTATAATAGTCAAATTTATCGAATTGTTTAGAATATTTCATTCATTAAATTCTTATGTAAATGTACCAAAATTCGTTTTGTGAATATTAATTTAAGCTTTGTAAAATTGTCAAACGGTCATGTTTATTATTCATGAAATATTTTTAATACTATTATTCTATTGATATATAAATATGTTGTTGCTTGTCATGTAAGTTCTCAAAATAAGTTTTTTTTCAAAGTTTATGAACTCAAATAATAATTATGTTTCTAAATGAGCTGCACCAATCTGCCATCCATGATTGTTGAGCTTAGTTCAGCTGTGTATCATCTGTAACCTAACTAAATGCCATTGTTTTGTTAGGCCTTAAATGTTGATTCAACAAATATGCTCGTTACTGAAGGTGGAACCAGCAATCTTGCTTCTTTGCACAATAGTTATGCCAATAGGCCCAATATCTCACCTGAAAAAGGCACTGTAGATGGCCGTATTCTGATTTCAAATCATTCTGCGTCAGATCAAGAGGAGCTCAAAGTTCTTTCAGATTCGAAAAAGATATTGACTCAAACTGCCCTAGCTACTTTGATACGAAGGAGGAATGAATTGGTAAAACTTCATTGCGTTCTTCTATTTACAATAATGATTATACTCTATATTCATTCTCAGTAGCCATCAATGGGCACTGAGAACACACACTCGTATCCTAGGAGAACATATATACATGTAATCTTAAGACATATATATAGTTCTATACAAATGTAATAGTAACTTGGTTGAATCCGTACGCCATTTGTTTTCATCATTTTTGGCTTACCTACCACTAAGCTTTTAATTTTAGAAATAACTAACGAGTAGCACATATTACCCGATGTACATGCTTGCATGTGTTGTTGTGACTATTAAAGCAGTATTCTGCTTCCATAGCCATATCTACTATGCTGGTTTTACTTAAATTTAAGGATTACATTGCTACTGCTTTGAATGTTAAAAAATTCTATATTTGCATATATCTGAGATTTAGTTACTCCATTCAGGCCCTTCAGCAGCGCAAGATAGAGGACGAGATTGCTGTTTGTGATGGAAATATCCAGAAAATATTAAGTGGTGTGTTTTCCTTTCAGTGTCCTGCGTTTTTCTTCTCTGGTATTTTCAGTATGACCCCCTACCCCATTGGTGATTCTCATGGTTTATCCTCTCGTAATTGTTATTTTTGTTCTTATTATTAATACTGTTATATTTCTATCTATCAAACTCTAGAGTAAGTCTGATACTGGTTTAGGCAGTGATTATTGGCTTCTTTTAGGCATTTTTATCACTTTGTATGATTTTCTGTCATTTGCAAGGTATTCATTAAACTCAATATTGTTTCTATTCAACCTCTCCGCCCCTGTTTTTCTAGGGTCTGCCCATGGTGTTGGGATCTTCCAAATTCAACTTACGTAAAAAACATTTCAAATAATACACACACATAAACATACATATAGGGAATATGCTGTGTTGCCAAGATATTGTGAATTCAACAAGCATACTCAAGCTGCTATGAGGATCTCTGATCTGCTAAATGAACAATTTTGTTAATGATCAGCTGCTCTTTTTCCTTTGCATCTGATTGTGATGGCCGATATATGCTATATTTGCTGATGAAGTCCTATTATATACTATGCAGAAGATTTTTTAATGGTAGAATTAGTTAGAGCCTGAGAAAATAATTGACTTCGAGCTGTGAACCAGATATACTAGAACTAAAAATGAACTGTGAACAAACACTGATTTTTCATGTGTCTTTTGGACAAATGTAGACGGGGAAGATAACTTTAGATTAAAGATTGAATCAATTATAGAAGGCTGCAATGGTACATGGCTCTGGAATCAAGAAAGGGTGTGTGGACAGCAAATCCCACCTCTTAAGAGGAAAAAATTGTCAGAGGCTGTCTTTATCACACAAAGTTCATGCCAGGTAAGCAATGTTCTATTTACATTCTTGGAGTCAAAGGTGAAAATGTTATCTCTTATATGATGCTTTATTATTCAATTTAGTAGTGTGCACACAGGATCAAATGATTGTGTTGCTAATTTCTTGGAAGTACTGAAGCTAGAATGAAATGGTTTAAAAAGTATGTAGGGGTTTAGGGTATGTTAATTGTAAGTTAATTTGAACAATGCCGCTCATAGAATTGTTTATACGCTGCTTGGTTTCATCTGTACAACCATTTTTACCACTCGCCAAAAGCTCATTTTTGACAAATGACTTATTTTCATTTTGTGCTGTGTACATCTCTGTGAAGCACCTCAGTTTGACTTTATCACCTACCTTTGTTCTGTGATGTTTTCTTTTCTTCTGTGGCATTTTTCAATTATACATTTTGGTAGTGATCTATCACCTTTAAAAAATATATAAGAACATTACTTATCAATTAGCTGAACAAGTCCCCTATCCTCCTTATTTTCATTGAAATAAAGTATTTAGAACTATGGAAATCTTGCAGGAACTAGATGATATATGTCGCACAAACAATTGGGTCCTGCCAACTTATCATCTATCTCAATCAGAGGGTAAGGCTATCTAACCTAAACTTTAAGCACAAGCGGCATAAATTCTCTTTATGAATCAAGAAATAATTAAGATTTGATCATTGTGCTTTTTGTTCACCTTATTAATGGCCAATAGTTATTCATGTGTCTACGATGAGAAAATATGATACACCCTAATCTGACAAATCAAATCTAACTGGTGTTTCTATTGAAGGTGGATTCAAAGCCAATGTAACTGTTAAAGGAGTGGAGTTTCAGTGTTCATTTGAAGGTAAAATGGGTTCCAGTCCTTCTGAAGCAAGAGAATCAGCTGCAGTTCAGATGATAACGAACTTGAGAAGTATAGCAAAATTAGAAGAGTGATATTGGAAGATTAGAAATGATCTGTTTCCCTTTTTGTTACTAGTCTTTTCTAGAATTACATCAATCTGGCAAAATATCATGTCAGTCTTCGATCATTTTTACTGAATTCTGTTAAAATGACTGCATTTTCTAATCTCTTCGGTTCTGGGATCTTGCATTTAACACAAATGATATTGATATGCGATTAATTCTTGTCAACTATGTTGTTTATTATTTCAATTTTTCTCTCACCTTTTTTCGTTTACATAGTTGCTAAGTTAGGTCGTGCTCCATCTTATTTTTTTTCTTCGGAATATATCCTTAGAATGTATTTATCAAATTATTAAATGTGTTTCATATTTCCACATCTTAACTGTTCTTTTACTCTGTAAAATCGTGTTGTACATATTTTTGAGTTTTCTCTTGTGAGAAGTAAACACAACAACAAAAAGGACCATCTAAGAAAATAAACTAGTGAGGAAGAAAACAGATGGCAATGAACTTGGCAACTAAATAAAAATATCAAAAGTTTGATAGACATGCAACACATGTTTAGAAAGCTAACAAGGACAAATTAGCTTATTTAAACTCTTTTTGGTTGATAGAAACAACTCAATACAATAGTAGACTAAAGGTCACCAAACTTGTGTTTCTCTCTGTTTATAGAGAAAAAGAGAAAGTATTTTCATGTGAAAAGAGATGTGTGGATTAGAGAAACTTGTTTGAAGGAAGTTGCTATGAAGAAAATAGAAGACGTGGGTTTCACAATATTCTTGTCGTATCTTTATAATGGTGAGATTTGGAAAGATAGCGAACTAGTATATGCAATTTCAAAAACAATGACCAAATTTATGATTATGTTGTTATATAACATATATAATAGATTTTGTTATGTTATATACCATAATTAATTCTAATTTATAATTTTTTTAATGATACTTAATATGCTGTAAATATATTTTTGATTTAAAAACATAAAATTTAAGTTTTGATATTATATGAAATAATTTTGATTTGTTATAAAATACATTTTTTTAAAGATTTTATAATGATTTTTTTTCATTTTAATTTAACATTTATTCTAATTTTAATCTATATTTTCAACATATTTTTTAAAAAGTAGTTATATTTTATTTTTAATATAAGAGTACTTTGATAAATTTTAAATATATCAATTTATAACTTTTTATTCTATCACATTAACTAAACCTCTTAAATTTTTCATTCATTTTTCTTTATTTTTTTTTACTTATTTTCCTGTTTAACCAAATAATTGTTTTTTTTTTGTTTTTTTTCCGCTAATTCATTTTCATCCCTCACCTCGTTTCAAATAAAACATATAACAGAAGCACTGTGCAGACAGAAGAGTAGCAATCACCACAATCTACAAGAGATATTTACCTTGCATGTAAAGTGTTTAGAAAGAGTTCCTCTATAACAACCTGATAACAGGTCCCAATACTTTATCTTGAATGAAAAAGCAAAAAACAAACTGATTTCAACTTCAAACTTAATAATCACATATATTTCACCTTATTAAAGTTACAGAAAATATCTTATCTTAATTTTGATTTACAACACTTGCTGCTAAAAGACATTCAACATGAAAGAAAAAAAACAATACTAAACTAAATGCATGATTGTCAGTTGACATAGAATAATTATTATAGTTGCTAGTGGTTGACAACAGAAAACAAAAGTTCTATCCTCTGAGAGCATAATGCTAAACATGCTGTTGGCATAAATATCTAATCCTAATATCCTACAAATACAATCATTGAGAATGTAGACTTCAGCTTTGGACAATTGTGGCTTTTGGGGGTAGAAGGAGATGGAAGAAACTTCTGTACTCAATCAAATGACACTGAAATTAAAAAAAAAAATCCCGACTTTACAGTAAAATTCTTTCTTTTTTAAATCATTAAGGAAAATCCCAGTAGTTAGAAATTTGCATCATCCTCTACAAAATTCAACAAAAACTTCAAAACCGAAGCCTTAAGATCCCCATTCACTCCTTTATTTTTTGTTTCAAACACACCCTTCATAATTCTTGTGTAAAGCCTTTCAAGTTGTGGAATGCTGAAACTTTCACTACGCTTCACAAAAAGCTGCTTGACAGATTCCACTTTTCTCAAAAATTCACCATCTAGCACTGTGACATCCTGGGGACTGTTGCAATCAGCAAGGTTGTGTATACAAGTTCCATGCAAGTTTTCTTCAATTGACATAGGTTCAAGCCCTTTAGCATTAGTGTCATTAGGTTGATGCTCCCGGGAAGACTTTGGCGGAACAGAATCTTGCGACTTGTCTTCTGCTATCAACCCAATTTGAATGAACTTTAAAATCACTATTTGAACTGAAGTTTGCAGGTATATGGAAACAAGTGAAGAAGAAACTAATTTGAAACCAAATCACACAAATATAATATTTGTTTTAAGCATAACCAAGCACATAAGTGTGTTAAAAGCAAGGACTTGAAAAGCAAAGATGTCTACCCACTCATGACTATCATGCCTTATACCTGCATGCACTTCGGTGATCTTCTTAGCTCGCTTCAATGCCTCATAACTCTGATCCACGTTAACCTCTGGTTGGACATGACGAAGTCGAGCACTCATTCTAGTACCAGTACCCAGCTGCACAACAGGAGAAGCAGGGAATGTTGAATCCTCTAATTCATCAGACAGTTGAACTGGGCCACCTTGGCTAGCAATCTTGTCACAATAAGCAACCAGTGCTGGATCCATTTGTGAGAGCATTCCATGCACCTGAAGAAGTACAGAAAAGAAAAAATAAGATACGGAGGAGCACTTGCTAGACAGCAGTCAACATCAAGATGTAAAACTTCAGTCCAGAGAAAGTCCATGCACCGCATCACGCAGCTCACAAGCTCTACTGACAATCCTAGCACCGTTGTAATCCTCTCCATTGTAGGCCTGAGTTGCAGAAGAACCAAACTTAAGACATGCTTTGAATATTAGAATTAGTGTATGAAGCATTTTCAATATATATAGCCCATCTGCCCCCGACCAAAAAAAAAAAAATTAAGGCACAAATACATGCCTTTGCATTGGATACAATAAGATTGATATCCTGCATGAATGCAGTACATGTAATATATTGGCCATTATCAACATGCTGCAGGATGGTAGCCATGTCTATTGGGTTCTGTATAATTGACCGGTAATTTGGTGCATCTTCGTCTGACACTGGATAATGGAAGGCATTAAATCTTTTGTCATACAGTATCCTGTAACATGGACAAAAATACATATATGTATTGAGAGAGGATGCATCCAGTTAATTAAAGGTATTAACGAGCCATACAAAGCCAACAACAGTACATTAAGCATAAGTTGACATACCGGTTGCAAATATCTCTAAGGCACATTCGTAACCTGCGAAGTGCATGTTGCTCAGCTTCCACCTTTGCTTTTAGCTCAGATACTTTTGGACCAGTAGCCAATTTTGGTGCCTTAGGAAGTTCAGGGAGGTATCCCGTATCTTGTGACTTCTTGTTGATTCCCTCCAACAATATTGACATAACAGCTTCTATTAAAAGATTGAAAAACAAAGTCCTATCTTTGGCACCTGGCATATTCACTTGATAACTGTTGCAAAGAGAAAGAGGGTGAATGGAGAACTAGAAACAAAGGCATGGAGAGTACTTTCAGATTCAAAGAAAAAAATATTACTCAAAATTTTCAACCTTTGCATTTGAACAAACCTACAGTCATTTAACTACTTTGGGAATAACCAATCACATAGACTTCAGTAACGTGATAGGGCACTGAATACTGACGGTAAATATTCTACTACCTCCCTTAAACTAATTTCCCCCATACAAAACCATCCATTTAAAATGATATAATTACATACATAGTACTGGTAAAGAAAAAGCCATTTTCTTTGCCTTGGAGCTAAAACAATATACTTGCAGTAAATTATATCATGCATACATTGTGCGATGAGGGAAAACTGAAGTAGGCACTTCCTCAACTTCAGCAGGTTCAACAGAGGATGTACCAAGCAGTAAGATAGGCAGGTCAGATGGTAATTCTTCCAGCAAAGTCAGGAGAACAGCCCTGAGCTGCTCATGAGACTGCAGGATAATTTAAAACAATCAAGCTCAGTTCATATTAAAAAGTAATTTTGGGCATTAAAATCAGTTCATTTATCATATATAATTACAGGTAACCAAGATATACTCACAGTTTCCCACCAAACATCAAACTGTGGTAAATAAAGAATTGATGGTGTTGTTCTTCTAGCTTCACTAAATATATGTACTAATGCCTCTTCTGGTGTCTTTGCACTGGGATCTGACAGAAGAGATGGGAGTCCTAATGAATGCACAGGAAACTTTTCCAGCTCATGTAAAACCGCAGGGCCAAGATGATCCTGTTAAACTAGAGCAGTAAGTATATTCAATATTAAGTTGCTGTAATGAATAATTTATCAACAACAACATAAGGTTACAAGAAAATTACCAGCCCTGTACCTTCACCACCACAAAGTAGAAGCCTAGGTCGATACACAAGTGGAATTGCAGACCCGTAGGACAGCATTGAAAGTTTAGTCAACTCAGATGCAATAGAAGCTGCGGGGAAAATATCAGATATAACACTCATGGCTTTCTCTAAATGTCGCTGGAGACATGGTTGAACTACTAGAGACAATGGCCTAGAGTGCACAATGGCTCCTCTATGAGCAGCAGGAGTAATAGTAGACATTGCTTCAATAAAATGAGTCTTTTCTACATTGACAGAATCAACATCTATAACAAATTTGTCATCACTTGTATAAACTTGTGGATACTTTTGCCGAAATGCATGGATGGCAGCTTCAGTACAAAGAGCTTTCAGATCAGCACCACAGTAACCTACACAACTGGCTGCAAGTTCCTTTTTCAGCTCATTTGGAGGAGGATGTTTCCACTTACGAGTATGAATGTCTAATATCTCAGCACGTGCCTCACAACCAGGTAAGGGAAAGTTAAACTCTCGATCAAATCTACCAGGGCGTCGTAAGGCTCCATCAATAGCATCAATCCTGTTGGTAGCTCCAATTAAAACAACTTGCCCGCGAGAGTCAAGACCATCCATCAAAGCAAGCAAAGTGGACACAATTGAATTGTGAATTTGTTCCTGCTTGCTAGACCTCACAGGTGCAAGTCCATCTATCTCATCAAAGAAGATAATAGAAGGTTGATTCCTTTGTGCTTCCTCAAAGAGTAGTTTCAATTGTCTTTCAGCCTCACCAACCCACTTGCTTAGCACATCTGCTCCTTTGCGCATGTAAAAGCTAACCTTTTGGCCAGCTTTTGAAGCAGCACAAGCCAAAGCCCTTGCAATCAATGTTTTCCCTGTGCCAGGGGGCCCACACAACAACACTCCCCTAGGTGGAGTTATGTGGTAACTTGCAAAAAAATCCGGATATAGTAATGGAAAGAAAACCATTTCCTTTAGAGCATCAATGTATTCAGAGAGCCCACCTATATCATCAAAACTAACACTATCGTCAACCTGTAAGGGTTGGATATCTGCTCCACCCTTGGAGCTTGGTCCAGCAGTTTGAATCCCAGATGTAAGAGTAGCCAAAGCATCACCCTGATGACCCCAACCTGATGCAGCAAGATTTAATCCAAAAGCTGTTGTTCCATGCATGTCTAAGCCTCCAAAAAGCCAAGGTGGACCAGATCTGTTACCACCTCGCCCCCATGAAATAGCTGGGCCTTGGTCCAGCTCATCCACAAGAAGTGAGTCATCAGAATCTTCAGGCCTCGCTAAACGATGACGCTTATGAACTCGTGATCCACCTTTCCTTACATCCCTGCTGACCTTGGTACCCATACCTTGATGTAACACTCTTCGAGGAGACCTAGGCCGAGCCTTTCTTTCCTCCATAGAGAACCTCCGAACATCTGAACGATTCCGAAGATCATAGCGCTTTCTTCCATCCTGCTCTTCTTCACCCTCTTCATCATCGCCATCTTCATCACCTTCATCCTCACCTTCATCTTCACCCTCAGCGTCCCCCTCAATCTCATTTTGGCCATCATCTGCATCATTTTCCTCAGCATCATTTCCATTTTCTGTTTCATCTTGATCAACCTTTTCCTCTGACAGGTCTTGCTCATCATCTGACTCTGAAATCAATCGTTCTATCACAGCACCCTTTGAACGACGAGGACGTAAGCCTTCACGTCGAGGTGCTGGCTTAGTATCGTCTGCTCTTTTGCGCTTAGAAGACATCAAACCATCCCGTTTGACTCTATTTTTAATCTGATTTCTCAATGAGGGATATGCAGGTCTCTGGAACACAGACACATACCTTCAGCCCAAATTATAGAAAATTCAAGTTTATTAAACAAAATTTTGTATTATTGAGTATAAAACCTCACCATTAAGTCTTCGTCTTCAGCTCCAGAGCTATCTGTAAAATCTTCAAGATTTACATTAATCCTTCTCTTCCTTGTTGAACGGCGAAGGTTGGCAGAGCCAGACTAAGAGAAGTACAGATAAAACAACCCGAGGATTTAGATACATCCCATGTAATACTGATGAATTATAGTAAGCATCTAATCAAATTCAGCAAATGACACAATTCAGAGTAATGGGTGAAATAGAATGCAGAGTCCAACATTAGAAAAACAATAATACCCACCACTACCTACTAAATTCACACCCTTCGATCTTTTTTAAAGAATTATACCAATTCATAAAAACAATCAATTGCGTTTGCCTGTCAAAAATATCTCAAAAGAAGGCAAAACAAAGAAACAGGGAGAACAGTTATTGTGCACAATCATATTCAGCAAAGCAGAGACCAGAGGTTGATGAAGTTAAGGTATCTGATTATAGATCAAGCAAACTTGGTTGCTAAAGTAGAACATTTTGTTAAGTTATCAGTGAAGGCAACATAGATTGGAAGAAACTATTACATCTAGAATTTTATACATAGATAGTAAATAATTTAGTGCTTGGTTGCTATAATCAATTGTCAATATGACACTTGTTATATTTGAATAGTTCTATATTAAAATGGACACTGCAGAGCAGTTATTTCTATAAGCAAGTACAAACTACTTTGCAGTAAACTTAAAAATATTATGCAGGATTTTAGAAAAAGCTCTCTGCCAATCCCAAATTTTGCTAATAATAACCCCCAAATGAGTACGAGTCAGAACCTGGTGATTTACAACTAAACACATTTCCAGCACATTTAGAGGAAAACTTCTTTGAAGAAAATAGTATACAAATACAACTAATTAATTGTGAGTATTCTGAGCAAACAATTGTTTTCGTGTTTGGGTATAATTCTTTTAAAAACACAAACAGAGACTACTAACAAAGACACAACATCATCAATTGTCCACAGCCTTATCTTAACTTCACGAGAGAAGAAAAGATAGCAATTTGTTTTTAAATTCTAAAAAGACGACATAAACAACAAGAAAATGAGTCTTGTGAAGCATTCATACAAACACACATCAGTATACAGACCATTTGAGCTAATTACATCAAATACCATTGTCCACATAAAAGCCTTGACAATTAGTTAGAGGACCTTTGAAAGAAAGAGCCAGGTAGGGAAACATTTCACACAAGAGGACTGTGAATCAACAAAACAGAATGACACCTGGATAAGATGCAAATGGATTCAAAGATCACAGTCAAGTAACAAATAACAATGGAAAGCACAAAGCAATATTATGATAAAGCAATTGTTAGGATCTAGGATGTTAGGATAGATTGGGTTGAGGACTGAGCGATTAAAGGTGTGAGGGTGTCAGTTGTAAAGGGGGAGTGGGTCAAAGCTGCTATAAATAGAGCTCTTGTAACTTTGTAGAGGATATCAAGTATATTTTGTTGTAAAGACAAGATTCTAGCCTGTAGAGGGAGGTTATGCTCCCAACCAGGGAGGTTATGCTCCCAACCCATTCTTTGTACAGTGCCTATTCGTTCTAAAATAAGAGAATTTTTTTCATTCATCTTTGTATTCTGTTGGGTGAGAGCGTGTTTGGTTAGGTTTCAGACATAGTATTAGAAAGTAGACTTTAAGCCTAACTCAACCCCACAAAACCGGCTTGTAAGGTGAGGTTTGCACCTCACTTATATATTAAGAATTGACCTTATCTCTAGTCGATGTGGGACTTCCAACACACCCCCTTCACGCCGAGGTATAGACATCTCGTGCGTGATAGTAGAAATTGGGTGGTCCGATAACGGCCCGATAGCGGGTGGAATAGAAGAATAGAATGCCCACTTAGAACTCGCTAGGATAGGCTCTAACCATGGCTCTGATACCATATTAGAAAGTGGACTTTAAGCCTAACTCAACCCCACAAAACCGGCTTGTAAGGTGAGGTTTGCACCTCACTTATATATTAAGAATTGACCTTATCTCTAGTCGATGTGGGACTTCCAACACANCCTTTGCATTGGATACAATAAGATTGATATCCTGCATGAATGCAGTACATGTAATATATTGGCCATTATCAACATGCTGCAGGATGGTAGCCATGTCTATTGGGTTCTGTATAATTGACCGGTAATTTGGTGCATCTTCGTCTGACACTGGATAATGGAAGGCATTAAATCTTTTGTCATACAGTATCCTGTAACATGGACAAAAATACATATATGTATTGAGAGAGGATGCATCCAGTTAATTAAAGGTATTAACGAGCCATACAAAGCCAACAACAGTACATTAAGCATAAGTTGACATACCGGTTGCAAATATCTCTAAGGCACATTCGTAACCTGCGAAGTGCATGTTGCTCAGCTTCCACCTTTGCTTTTAGCTCAGATACTTTTGGACCAGTAGCCAATTTTGGTGCCTTAGGAAGTTCAGGGAGGTATCCCGTATCTTGTGACTTCTTGTTGATTCCCTCCAACAATATTGACATAACAGCTTCTATTAAAAGATTGAAAAACAAAGTCCTATCTTTGGCACCTGGCATATTCACTTGATAACTGTTGCAAAGAGAAAGAGGGTGAATGGAGAACTAGAAACAAAGGCATGGAGAGTACTTTCAGATTCAAAGAAAAAAATATTACTCAAAATTTTCAACCTTTGCATTTGAACAAACCTACAGTCATTTAACTACTTTGGGAATAACCAATCACATAGACTTCAGTAACGTGATAGGGCACTGAATACTGACGGTAAATATTCTACTACCTCCCTTAAACTAATTTCCCCCATACAAAACCATCCATTTAAAATGATATAATTACATACATAGTACTGGTAAAGAAAAAGCCATTTTCTTTGCCTTGGAGCTAAAACAATATACTTGCAGTAAATTATATCATGCATACATTGTGCGATGAGGGAAAACTGAAGTAGGCACTTCCTCAACTTCAGCAGGTTCAACAGAGGATGTACCAAGCAGTAAGATAGGCAGGTCAGATGGTAATTCTTCCAGCAAAGTCAGGAGAACAGCCCTGAGCTGCTCATGAGACTGCAGGATAATTTAAAACAATCAAGCTCAGTTCATATTAAAAAGTAATTTTGGGCATTAAAATCAGTTCATTTATCATATATAATTACAGGTAACCAAGATATACTCACAGTTTCCCACCAAACATCAAACTGTGGTAAATAAAGAATTGATGGTGTTGTTCTTCTAGCTTCACTAAATATATGTACTAATGCCTCTTCTGGTGTCTTTGCACTGGGATCTGACAGAAGAGATGGGAGTCCTAATGAATGCACAGGAAACTTTTCCAGCTCATGTAAAACCGCAGGGCCAAGATGATCCTGTTAAACTAGAGCAGTAAGTATATTCAATATTAAGTTGCTGTAATGAATAATTTATCAACAACAACATAAGGTTACAAGATAATTACCAGCCCTGTACCTTCACCACCACAAAGTAGAAGCCTAGGTCGATACACAAGTGGAATTGCAGACCCGTAGGACAGCATTGAAAGTTTAGTCAACTCAGATGCAATAGAAGCTGCGGGGAAAATATCAGATATAACACTCATGGCTTTCTCTAAATGTCGCTGGAGACATGGTTGAACTACTAGAGACAATGGCCTAGAGTGCACAATGGCTCCTCTATGAGCAGCAGGAGTAATAGTAGACATTGCTTCAATAAAATGAGTCTTTTCTACATTGACAGAATCAACATCTATAACAAATTTGTCATCACTTGTATAAACTTGTGGATACTTTTGCCGAAATGCATGGATGGCAGCTTCAGTACAAAGAGCTTTCAGATCAGCACCACAGTAACCTACACAACTGGCTGCAAGTTCCTTTTTCAGCTCATTTGGAGGAGGATGTTTCCACTTACGAGTATGAATGTCTAATATCTCAGCACGTGCCTCACAACCAGGTAAGGGAAAGTTAAACTCTCGATCAAATCTACCAGGGCGTCGTAAGGCTCCATCAATAGCATCAATCCTGTTGGTAGCTCCAATTAAAACAACTTGCCCGCGAGAGTCAAGACCATCCATCAAAGCAAGCAAAGTGGACACAATTGAATTGTGAATTTGTTCCTGCTTGCTAGACCTCACAGGTGCAAGTCCATCTATCTCATCAAAGAAGATAATAGAAGGTTGATTCCTTTGTGCTTCCTCAAAGAGTAGTTTCAATTGTCTTTCAGCCTCACCAACCCACTTGCTTAGCACATCTGCTCCTTTGCGCATGTAAAAGCTAACCTTTTGGCCAGCTTTTGAAGCAGCACAAGCCAAAGCCCTTGCAATCAATGTTTTCCCTGTGCCAGGGGGCCCACACAACAACACTCCCCTAGGTGGAGTTATGTGGTAACTTGCAAAAAAATCCGGATATAGTAATGGAAAGAAAACCATTTCCTTTAGAGCATCAATGTATTCAGAGAGCCCACCTATATCATCAAAACTAACACTATCGTCAACCTGTAAGGGTTGGATATCTGCTCCACCCTTGGAGCTTGGTCCAGCAGTTTGAATCCCAGATGTAAGAGTAGCCAAAGCATCACCCTGATGACCCCAACCTGATGCAGCAAGATTTAATCCAAAAGCTGTTGTTCCATGCATGTCTAAGCCTCCAAAAAGCCAAGGTGGACCAGATCTGTTACCACCTCGCCCCCATGAAATAGCTGGGCCTTGGTCCAGCTCATCCACAAGAAGTGAGTCATCAGAATCTTCAGGCCTCGCTAAACGATGACGCTTATGAACTCGTGATCCACCTTTCCTTACATCCCTGCTGACCTTGGTACCCATACCTTGATGTAACACTCTTCGAGGAGACCTAGGCCGAGCCTTTCTTTCCTCCATAGAGAACCTCCGAACATCTGAACGATTCCGAAGATCATAGCGCTTTCTTCCATCCTGCTCTTCTTCACCCTCTTCATCATCGCCATCTTCATCACCTTCATCCTCACCTTCATCTTCACCCTCAGCGTCCCCCTCAATCTCATTTTGGCCATCATCTGCATCATTTTCCTCAGCATCATTTCCATTTTCTGTTTCATCTTGATCAACCTTTTCCTCTGACAGGTCTTGCTCATCATCTGACTCTGAAATCAATCGTTCTATCACAGCACCCTTTGAACGACGAGGACGTAAGCCTTCACGTCGAGGTGCTGGCTTAGTATCGTCTGCTCTTTTGCGCTTAGAAGACATCAAACCATCCCGTTTGACTCTATTTTTAATCTGGTTTCTCAATGAGGGATATGCAGGTCTCTGGAACACAGACACATACCTTCAGCCCAAATTATAGCAAATTCAAGTTTATTAAACAAAATTTTGTATTATTGAGTATAAAACCTCACCATTAAGTCTTCGTCTTCAGCTCCAGAGCTATCTGTAAAATCTTCAAGATTTACATTAATCCTTCTCTTCCTTGTTGAACGGCGAAGGTTGGCAGAGCCAGACTAAGAGAAGTACAGATAAAACAACCCGAGGATTTAGATACATCCCATGTAATACTGATGAATTATAGTAAGCATCTAATCAAATTCAGCAAATGACACAATTCAGAGTAATGGGTGAAATAGAATGCAGAGTCCAACATTAGAAAAACAATAATACCCACCACTACCTACTAAATTCACACCCTTCGATCTTTTTTAAAGAATTATACCAATTCATAAAAACAATCAATTGCGTTTGCCTGTCAAAAATATCTCAAAAGAAGGCAAAACAAAGAAACAGGGAGAACAGTTATTGTGCACAATCATATTCAGCAAAGCAGAGACCAGAGGTTGATGAAGTTAAGGTATCTGATTATAGATCAAGCAAACTTGGTTGCTAAAGTAGAACATTTTGTTAAGTTATCAGTGAAGGCAACATAGATTGGAAGAAACTATTACATCTAGAATTTTATACATAGATAGTAAATAATTTAGTGCTTGGTTGCTATAATCAATTGTCAATATGACACTTGTTATATTTGAATAGTTCTATATTAAAATGGACACTGCAGAGCAGTTATTTCTATAAGCAAGTACAAACTACTTTGCAGTAAACTTAAAAATATTATGCAGGATTTTAGAAAAAGCTCTCTGCCAATCCCAAATTTTGCTAATAATAACCCCCAAATGAGTACGAGTCAGAACCTGGTGATTTACAACTAAACACATTTCCAGCACATTTAGAGGAAAACTTCTTTGAAGAAAATAGTATACAAATACAACTAATTAATTGTGAGTATTCTGAGCAAACAATTGTTTTCGTGTTTGGGTATAATTCTTTTAAAAACACAAACAGAGACTACTAACAAAGACACAACATCATCAATTGTCCACAGCCTTATCTTAACTTCACGAGAGAAGAAAAGATAGCAATTTGTTTTTAAATTCTAAAAAGACGACATAAACAACAAGAAAATGAGTCTTGTGAAGCATTCATACAAACACACATCAGTATACAGACCATTTGAGCTAATTACATCAAATACCATTGTCCACATAAAAGCCTTGACAATTAGTTAGAGGACCTTTGAAAGAAAGAGCCAGGTAGGGAAACATTTCACACAAGAGGACTGTGAATCAACAAAACAGAATGACACCTGGATAAGATGCAAATGGATTCAAAGATCACAGTCAAGTAACAAATAACAATGGAAAGCACAAAGCAATATTATGATAAAGCAATTGTTAGGATCTAGGATGTTAGGATAGATTGGGTTGAGGACTGAGCGATTAAAGGTGTGAGGGTGTCAGTTGTAAAGGGGGAGTGGGTCAAAGCTGCTATAAATAGAGCTCTTGTAACTTTGTAGAGGATATCAAGTATATTTTGTTGTAAAGACAAGATTCTAGCCTGTAGAGGGAGGTTATGCTCCCAACCAGGGAGGTTATGCTCCCAACCCATTCTTTGTACAGTGCCTATTCGTTCTAAAATAAGAGAATTTTTTTCATTCATCTTTGTATTCTGTTGGGTGAGAGCGTGTTTGGTTAGGTTTCAGACATAGTATTAGAAAGTAGACTTTAAGCCTAACTCAACCCCACAAAACCGGCTTGTAAGGTGAGGTTTGCACCTCACTTATATATTAAGAATTGACCTTATCTCTAGTCGATGTGGGACTTCCAACACACCCCCTTCACGCCGAGGTATAGACATCTCGTGCGTGATAGTAGAAATTGGGTGGTCCGATAACGGCCCGATAGCGGGTGGAATAGAAGAATAGAATGCCCACTTAGAACTCGCTAGGATAGGCTCTAACCATGGCTCTGATACCATATTAGAAAGTGGACTTTAAGCCTAACTCAACCCCACAAAACCGGCTTGTAAGGTGAGGTTTGCACCTCACTTATATATTAAGAATTGACCTTATCTCTAGTCGATGTGGGACTTCCAACACATAGAAACCTAACAAATTGGTCCGACCTGCCGTTTCGAGAAGCGGTCGGATCATCCAGAGCGCTGCCATATCAACAGGAGAACTGTTGGTTGTCCTTAGGAGAGGGGTGCCGGATCAAGAAGGGATCAAGACGTTATCAAGAAACTGTCGGATCCAAATTGGGTGCGAAGCAAAGATGGAGGAAGCACGGAGGGACGATTGGAGGCTATGGAGATTACGATGGAGCGGATGAAGGCGGAATCCGCCGTAGTGCGCCGGGACTTGCAAGAAATAATGAGGATGATAGGGGCGCAGACTCACAACAATGAAGAACACTCAGATGGAAGTCAGACTTTCGTAAACGAGAACCAGCGACGGCACGAGGAGGATATTGGAGGGAGAGTGGGTGGCGATCACCAGGAGGTGCAGAATCAATGACAGAAAAGGGTAGAACTACCCACTTTCCAAGGGTTTGATCCGTTGGGGTGGGTCTCTAAGGCAAAGAAGTTCTTCGAGTTGCAAGGTGTGGCAGAGGAGGAAAAGGTGCGCCTAGTTGACATCAGTATGGAGGGGAGCGCTGGCTACTGGTTCAGAGCCTGGAAGGAGAAAGCCAAGAATTGTTCTTGGGAAGGTCTGAAGGGGGTAGTAGTGCTGCGATTTGGAGAACGGAACGGGGGTACCATCTTCGAAAGGGTAGCGGCCAGTAAGCAGTCGAGAACCGTGGAAGAATACGTCCCAGCATCGAACGTGAAAGAATTGACGAAACTGAACGGTCGAGGACTGCCAGAATCGAACGGGAAAGGACGTCCGGAAGCGAACGTGAGAGAATTGCCTAAACCGTACGGTAGAGAACTGCCAGAACCCAACGGGAGAGGACTGACGAAGTCGAACGTGACAGGACGGCCGGAACCGAACGAGCTAACACTACAAGCTGTGAACCCGAGAGGACTGAAGGAACCGAACGGTCGAGGACTGCGAGAACCGAACGGGAGTGGACGTCCGGAAGCGAACGTGAGAGGACTGCCGGAACCGTACGGTAGAGGACTGTCGGAACCGTACGGTAAAGGACTGCCGGAACCGTACGGTAAAGGACTGCCGGACCCGAACGCAATAGGACGGCAGGAACCAAACGGTCTAGGAGGGATGGATCAGTGGGAGAGAAGCGTGATGGAAGAAGGAATGAAGGCTTCGGAGGGAAGAGTGGATGGAAGAATCAATGCGCGGGAAAGAAGAATGGATTATGTGAGGAGGTGGGCCAGCCAATAGAAAAGGGGGCTTGCAGTTTGTGATACACTGACAAAGGGGAGAGAGCGGCTTAAAGCAACGAAAGACATCGAAGACCATTCTCTCAAGGCCTACGATTCTGGAAAAAAGGTGACCAGAATTCTGGGAGCTAATAGAATCCAGGAAGAAGGGAAGTTATTGGAGGAGGAATTGCCACCACCCAAGCCTCCAGACCTAAATTGGAGGGCAGTAGCCAGTGGGTTCACTTCATATGATAACAAGATGATGAAGAGGAGCCAAGAGACCAAGCTTTTCGGTTCCAACCTTGAGGACAAGGTTGTTCTGTAGCGGGGTGTAATGTTAGGATCTAGGATGTTAGGATAGATTGGGTTGAGGACTGAGCGGTTAAAAGTGTGAGGGTGTCGGTTGTAAAGGGGAGCGGGTCAGAGCTGCTATAAATAGAGCTCTTGTAACTCTGTAGAGGATATCAAGTATATTTTGTTGTAAAGACAGGATTCTAGCCTGTAGAGGGAGGTTATGCTCCCAACCAGGGAGGTTATGCTCCCAACCAGGGAGGTTATGCTCCCAACCCATTCTTTGTACAGTGCCTATTCGTTCTGAAATAAGAGAATTTCTTTCATTCATCTTTGTATTCTGTTGGGTGAGAGTGTGTTTGGTTAGGTTTCAGACATAGAAACTTAACAGCAACTTTATCAGCTCCTCCATGATTCCATCATTAGAGTTTCCAGAAAAAACATGGAGGACAAGTTTTAAGAAACATTGAAAACTGGTATGGTGAAAAAACAGAAACTTGATGCTGAATTCCAAGCCATGTAGAGGTACTAAAATTGAGCCTTTTGTTTGTCAAAAGGAAAATTAAATTAAATTGACAAAAAAGGAAAAATAAATACATAAAAAAAGTGAAAAACAATAAAATAGCAAATGTCTTTAGGGGCTGTGTGGCATTTTTTTTTTCACTGCTAATAAGAGATATGCAACCTAGTTTTCCTTTTGTTTCTTGTTTTCTAAAGTTCACCCAGGAAATAACGAAAGCAGTCTTTTGATGTTTATTATTTACACTATTTCCAACATAAACTTTTGAAAACAGGGAACAGGGTGACAAGAGAAAATGTTTTCTCGACTCTAAAGCCAAACAACCCTGATAATTTCATAGATATGTCCACATTTTCACGTAATGAATTAGAGGGGCATGGAAATTTCATTGTCAATATCATATATGATAATATGAGTGACACAGAACCTATGGGATTTAAGCAACAAATAGAGTCATCCCCACTAAGAATTTTGCTTCTATAACTGATTTGGTATACAGACACTTACATTAGCATTAGAATCTTGTGGTTTCCGATTCCCTGGACGCAACATTTTGGCAATCTGAGAAGCTGCAGTCCTTGTCTTGTTCTTGTTTTTCCTTGTGCGCCTAAGATTTTGGTTATAAAACAAGTATGGTCGGCCATAAATGTTTGGCCTTGTCTTGATCCTGTCACTTGAGCGCACTTGTCTCAAATCAGGGCCATCTTGGCCTGACCGTTTTGGATACATGAAGCAATGCTAAATTTTGCAAATAAAAAATCACATAAATAGCATATCTCAGCCAGCAACACCTGCAGCAGAAATCAGCAGAATCTACAGCACTTAAAAATTTTCAAAGAGAAATGCTTACAAACATTGCATACCAAGGTAATTATCAATTAGAAAGTCTTCTACACAGCATCATACTAAACCCTTTCCCACTTACATGCATAAAAATTTAAACACACGTTGAAGAATCATAATATTAACATTGTTATATGAAACTTTGAGAAGTCAAACATATGTTTAGGATTATTTAGACGCAAAAAAAAAAATACATAAAGATGAAATTAAAAAGTTCAATTTGATTTTTTACATTAATACACAAAGTAAGTCATCATATAGGTACAGACAGGGAAGCTGCAGCTAAAGTCAAATGCAACATTCAACATCCTTGCAAGTATCAGGCCTAACATGCAATTCTCAAACTAACATAGCCATAAACACAGCATTTATAGTTAAAAAATAAAAAGTAACATAACAAATAACAAATAAAAAGAAAAAACATTGCATCAAACAAACAAGAAGGAACCAAATAACCCAAATTCCATAAAATCAAAAAACAAAAACTAATCAGTGAACTTGGGTGTGAAGGGCGCGAATAATGGTGATTAGACAGCAGATACAGAAAGTGAAAAATCAGAGCACACCTGATCCCAAGGAATGAATGCAATAAGTTAGGGTTTCGGCGAAGGTCGCAGAAGGAAGAATAAAAGCATCACTTTGAGTTTCAGAGTCCAAAACCCTTTCTCTTGGTCCCTCCTCCTTCTCTCTTGTGTGTATTTTTCTCCTCTCCCCGTTCCCACTTAGCTTCCATCCAAATGCCGAAAATATTTCTCTACTGTCAAACTAGATCCGGGTTGACCCGTTACATACGACCCACATAGAAAAACAGAATTTATAATTGGGCCGCTTCAGAAAATAAATGTCCAAACATTTATAAACATATAAACAGTTTATGGCAACCAGTTTTTACCAATAAAACCGGAACATGATAATTTATTAATTTTATTATGATTAAATTAGTGATGATTATAGTCATAGTATTATTTGATGCATTTATTAATGAGGTAAAAATATTAAAAAAATTAACTGTATGAAAAGTATTATTTCAAGATGTGACATTATTCTCAATCAACTTATGTATTATTTTAAAAAAAACATAGAATCTTCTTTCATTGGACAATAAGAAGATACACTAATTCATTCATTACTTATAACTTAGTTTTGTCGCTGTAATTTACATGTATTCTTATATCATTAAAAAAATCAAAAAGTAATTAAAAAATCAGTGAATTAAAATTTCGGACATTTAATTCACTGATTAATTATTACAATGTCTATAGTTAAGCATTTGTGCTTAAGTATTTCAAATTTTCTAAATAATACAAAGCTAAAAAAAATCAGAATTGATTATAATAAGTTATTTAGAATAATTTTCACAAAATAAACTATTTCTTACAAACAATGATTTTTTCTATAGTAATTAAATATGAATCAAATCTTTTTTTTTTAATTTCTAGAAATTTGATTACTAAATTATTTCATCTCAAATTAACTTTAATTTTAAACAAATGGACCCTTGTTTTATTCTGTATTTTTTATCTTTTTATTTTTTCTTTAATTCTATAAAATAGTTCTTTGCGGAACACACAAGCAACACTAATAGAGGTGATTAATCTAAATATAGTTTTCTCTTCACTATCTTTCCTTTTTAACTTATTACACTTAATTCAGTATATTTTATAACTATATATATAAACATATATCATTATTTTTTTAATGATTTAAAAAAGTAAAAATAGTATATATTAGTTATTAAATTAATATAATAAATTTAAAAATTGTAACAGTTATTCCGTTTTTTTAAAAAGAAATATATTTAACTATATTAATGTAGAATTTTTTTTATGAAAATTCAAAATTAAAGATATTATGGATACTTTATTTTTAAAATAACTTTTACAGTTACAAAATAAAAAAAATATCGTAAAAATATGCATTATAAAATAATTACAGTTTTATATATTGTGATAGATAAAAATAAATAAACAGATGCAGGTAAAATCATATGTAAATCATATGAAGACTAAGATTTACTATGAAAGCAATTTGATGAATTTATTAGTATGAAAGCAAAGTAAATTGGTCTAAGATTTGCTAATTAAGACTGAGACTTAGAAGGATCGCTTTACTGACCTTTTGAGAATAAGAAAAAAGGAATAATAATTAAAATATTATTTTTCTAGAATTTGTTAATTCATCATGCAATAATGGAAACAGTGATGATAAAACAAAATAACCCCCTTAAAATATTAACAATTATTATGAAAAATTACCAATGTTAAATGTTAGAATAATTAATCTATATATAATCATTAAGTCTATTTAGGATGTAGTGTGCTAGCTTTTATGAATTGTGTCTATAGTAATACCTAGTTCTGTATCTAGATATTTAGTGCAGTTCCTCCATGTACTCTTGTATTAATTATTTATTATGTAATAAATAAAAGATTGTGAGAGTAAGCCCACTAGAATTTCTGTTTAAATCTCAAGTACCAACAAAATCATATATTTGCTGGAAGAAACTTGGTTCTCCCCTGACAAAAATAATAGACTAGAAAGACATTTACCGTGGCACTATGAAGCACATTTTACCCATTTTGGAGACTGAGGGTGAAAGACAGCTAAAAAAAATAGGAAGTTTATTGCTACAAAAAGAATGAAAAAATACCAAATGATTGAAAAAGAGACAATTAAACTAAACAAAACAAAAAAAGGGGATGATGTTTCCATCTGTGTATAATTAAAATACATATCTATTATGGCAATCTTGTACACCTAGCATCCAGCAGCTCTCAAGAATTTATCAAAGGGGCTTGCAGGTGGTAGCTTTAAAGAATGATGCTGTCCAAAATCAAATGAACAGGGGCGAACTTGATATTGTGCTTGAAATTGTTCCTGATTCACCAACTTCAGATCACCTTCTGAATAATCCAGTGTCTACACAATGGCACGGTAACAAATAATAACCCTTTCAATGTTAAGGAACAACTTTATGTTTAATCTGAACTTTTGGTCGATTATGATGCATCATGCAATGGTGTCCATTACATAAATTGAAGCAGTAAACAAAATAAATGAACTTTATATATGGTTTAAGCTAGTGAATGATTTTTATTGGTTCTGAGTGATTTTCCTCTTTCCAGATTTTATTTTCTAATGATAGTAATTTGATCATTGCTTAATTCACTGGTTACCTAAACTGGGACATTGATACTACGACAAGCAATTGACCAGTATGATCATCTGAAAAATAAATTATTCTTTCACTATATACTTTTCTTTTGTTGTAAAATGAAATTTTCATGTTAAGAAAGCATACTAACCTTAATTGGCAAAGGGGAAAATTTCATTTCAATTTCACTTGAAAGAACTATTGCCCTAGTTTCCTGCTGGTGCTTGAAACTGTGAAGAACTGACATCTTCTTTTGTTTTCCTGTTACAAGTGCCTCACACTGGTTCTTCATTTGGTCATAAGGCACAGGAGTTGATGAAATGGGAAAACTAGCCACCTGTCGTGCAGTTTCCAATACCTATCCATACAATGATCCACGAAGTATCTTTTAAAAACATAATTTTCATCCTCCAACATAAACAAACATTGATTTAAAATACAATTACATAGTGAAGCAACCTGAACAAATATAAAATAATATTTTTTAACAGAAAGAAATCCAGTTTTAATTCTCCAGCTGAAACATCTAAGATGGATTTAAAATATAATCACCTACCCAAACAGCTAAAACTAAAAATAAAAACATATCATAATTTTACCGATTGTAAGAGTTCATTAACACTTAGAATGTCTGGGTTATTGCTAGATAGTGATGATTTACGATCTGACTGACTTCCACTAGGTTCAGGCCGGGCCTCTTCATCCATCAAAGCTGCCGAAGCCACAATCTGGAAACATGTCATAGTACTGAGACAGAAAAAAGTTTCTAAAACCACTTAAATGAAAATAAAATTTTGAGGAATTTTACCTCATCAAAATCTGGGAACTCAATCTGAGCAAGGGGAGAAGACTGCACTGGTGTCTCCATAAACAAAGGAGGTCCCAGTGGATAGGCATCATCAGGGGAAAACCCTTGTACAAGTTGTTTTTTTATGGTCGACAACTCATCCTGGTTAAAATTGAAAAGTCATTATTTACACTTATCCACTACTGAAGTTTTCCTTGGCAAGCAACTCAACTGCAGCTATTTTTGTATGACATGCTACATACATAATATAATATTTGCAAGTATCTTTTATACATAAAAAACATTGGTTTGAGTGATAGTTTTTAGAATACATGCAAGTGCATAAACAGCTGTGAGTATAACTTCATAAGTAGAAAAATGAATCAAGCACAGCCAATTAGCCCCTTATAATAATTATTTCAAAATAGCAAATCAAATCATGATTCGTCAAACCAACTAAACCTGATGCGCAAACTTTTGAATCTGAGAAATTATGTAGCTCATTTCATGATGATGGCTTATGTAACTAGTTGGATGTTTGTAATTTCTAATAACAAGCAGAAAGTAAGTCGTTATCTACCCTTAAACTAGAAGTGCAGTATATGTTAAAAAGCTTGAGCAAAACATTTTCACCATTTAATCCAACAACTATGCTGTGATTTGTGTTTGATATGTTTAACCAATGGAAAACTGAAATACAGTGGTGTCTACTTCATCCTCCTAACCCTGGCTACTTCCCAACCATGAATCTAAGCAATTGAAATAAATTCATATTACCTCTGATAATTCTGAAAATTTAGTCAGGAAGAATGATATTACAGTCTCTTTCAATTCCTTATCATCCAATTTAATTGCTGACAGTGTCTTCATAGCTGAAACATCATCTTCCTGAGATCCATAAACTATCTTCTCTGATTCTGTATAAACAGCACACAGCTTGACATCATCGACCAACTCAAGGAAAGGATCTACCTGTGGGTTTAAAACACTAATTAATTTACCTTATTATTACTCAAAACAAACATGTAGTAAAATTCAATTTTGAAAAGCAAGCTGAATAATGAGGTCATGCAATGGGGAACAAGTGATTAGGGGAAGAAACTTACAGTTAAATTTGTCAAGGATGCTTTAACTTTTGGAATTAGCTCAGGGAAATTCCCTGCCCTGGCTGAGAATATAAGCATGTATGATGCTAAAGTGAAAAGAGACCTCCTGCGAGATGGTTGCAAACCTCCTTTGAAATGCATGAAGACAACAAGCATGTCAGAAAATTCCAGCATAAAACCATTATCTTATATTTAGTCATAATAAAAAAAATTATGCCATGCATAGTCATAGAAAGTGGATGTATTCCTAACTCTTATAAAATCGGTTTGCAAGTTAAGGTTTTTACCCACATACATACCCTAATTTGAACATATCTCTAATTAATGCAGGATCTCCAACACATACCCTATGCTATTTAATATTTGTGGTTGGTGATAACAGCCCACGATAGCGGGTGATACAGTAGATCCAACTAATATTTTTAAGATAGACTCTAATACCATCTTATAAAGTAGATTTTAAGACTAACTCAATCTTAAGTTGACTTAAAATGTGAGATTTGCACTCACTCAAGGCTTTGGGCCCAACAATGGATCTAAGATAGGATAAGATACTAACTATTTTGAAAGCAAAGATATTATACTATCTTGGAATTTCTGTTTAGGGTCTAATTCAGCTCACAAAACCAGCTTGTAAAGTGAAAACTCTTCACCTCTTATAAGCAATATTTAGGTCATATCACCATGCAATGAGAAATAAACAA